TGAAAGTGAAAAGAATTAGATGCGATAATGGTGGTGAATTTACAGCGAGTAAACTAAGAATATTTTGTGAAAATAGAGGAATAAAAATTGAGTACACACAGCCATACAGTCCGCAACAGAACGGAAAAGCGGAAAGGATGAACAGAACAATATATGATAAAGCAAGAACTATTCTAGATGAGTCTAATCTGCCAAGATACCTATGGGGATACGCTGTATTAACATCGACATTTCTCATAAACAGATCTCCATGCTCAGCCATAAACAACAAAGTACCTGCAAAGATAAGAAACAGAGAATATCCAATGAATAAAATAAAAATATTTGGATGTAAAGCATGGGCACGTATAATACCACAATCAAATAAATTTGATAATAGAGCTACTCCAACAAGAATGATTGGTTATGCGCCAAATGGATATTTATTGTGGAATCCTGAAACAGACGAAGTTACAGTATCAAGGGATGTGAGATTTGATGAGACAAATATAAGACATGAAAAAGAAAATGGTAATCAGAAAGAAAAATACCTACACAATGAAAACTATTATGATCAAATAAACAAGGATGAGTCTGAAAATTATGAGTATGATAGGTCAAGAATGCATAAAGAAAGCATAGAGGAAGATCTAAATGACAGAGAAGAAAACAAGCATACCACAAGAAGCGGCAGAGAAATAAAGAAACCTACTATTCTAAAAGATTATGAAATATATGAAGCCTACTGTTTAATGTCAAATGAAAATGATCCCTCTACATATAAAGAAGCCATACAACAAAGTACAGAATGGAAAACTGCAATAGAAAGTGAAATAAAATCATTAGAAAGTCTACAAACATGGTCAGAGACAGAGTTACCACATGGAAAGAAAGCCATAGACACAAAGTGGATATTTAAGACAAAATCAGATGGAACTAAAAAGGCACGACTAGTTGCTCGTGGATTTCAACAAGAATCAGACGAATTTGTATACTCACCAGTTGCTAAAATAACTACAATAAGGATGGGACTGTCAATAGCACTGAATAATGACTGGAAAATAAATCAACTGGACATACCTACAGCATTCTTGAATGGGAAATTAGAAAATGAAGTTTACATTAAAGTTCCAGAGGGAGTAAATGTGAAAAACAAGAAAAATGGAACAGTACTGAAATTACACAAAGCATTATATGGACTGAAAGAATCACCCAAATGTTGGAACAAGAGATTTGATGAGTTTTGTAAACAAATAAACATGACAAGATCTAAGAATGACATATGTTTATACACAGGAGAAAATATATGGTTAATTGTATTTGTTGACGATATACTACTTATTGGAAATGAAGAGAAAGTTAATAAGCTAACAATACAATTAAATGAAGAGTTCAAAGCTAAGAATATGGGAAAAATAAAAAACTTTTTGGGTATAGAAATAAACATAGATAAAAACACAATGAAATTGTCACAAAGAACATTTATTAGAAACTTATTACAAAAGTATAACATGCAAGACTGTAGAGACGCGAAGACACCAATGGAGACTAACTTTGAAGTACCTGAAAAAGAAGAAATAATTAGTAACTTACCTTATAGAGAATTAATAGGAAGTTTAACTTACCTCTCGACGATCAGCAGACCAGACATTACATTTGCAACATCTTTTCTCAGCCGATATCTTGACAAGCCAACAAGAAGCTTGTGGAATGCAGCAAAGAGGATACTGCGTTACCTAAAGGGAACTGAAAACAGAGAACTTACCTATATGAAGAAAGAAGATAACACTAACACTTATTCTATTTCAGCCTTTTCAGATGCAGACTGGGCCAGTAATAAATCTGACAGAAAAAGTGTCAGTGGCATGGTCATTTATCACAGAGGAAATCCTATATCATGGTCATCCAGGAAACAGCAAGCTGTCGCCCTTTCAACTGCGGAAGCAGAGTATGTCGCCGCCGCTATGACTGTGAGCGAGCTATTATTTGTGAGGGGACTTGCAATCGATTTTCAAGACAAAAGTGATGCAGTGTTATATGTGGACAATCAAAGTGCGATTAAAATGGTGATGAACAGTGAAAACACTCGACATTCGAAGCACATAGACATTAAATTTCATTTCGTGAAAGACATAGTTTGTAATAATATTGTAAGTGTCAAATATGTAAGTACAAACGAAAATACGTCAGATATTTTGACTAAATCACTGTGTAATATCAAGTTCAGTTATTTTCGTGAGAAGTTATTAGTTTTGTAGTGATTTCATTTAAAGTTTTGTTTACATTAATAGAACAGTGTGAAGTGAGTTGCATGTGTCACTAGTTGTCATTAATGTCAGTTTCTGAAATGTCAAATTCTTTTTTTATATTGCCATACTAAAACATAAGTGGAATATTGTTATTAGAAGTTTTTATTAGTAGATAAAAATTATTTTGTTTTGCAATTAAAAGTTAAAGCCTAACTTGTAATTGAGAGGGAGTGTTAGGATTATATTATCTTTGGAAGTGTATTAAATATTAAAAAGTTAACTGTTTCCGGTAGAACGCTCTTCCCTCTTCCGGCTATGTACGAACAAGATGTGTCTGTGTAAGAACCCGAATAATAAATGCTTACCTCGCTAACTATCGGTCTTTTCATTAAAGAAACACAAGTTCTGATACAACTAAGGTCAAAAGTTCTAAAAGTTTAATGAGCTACCTTAAAATGATACTACATGTATTATACTACATGTGCAAGCTTGCCACCAAACCAGGTGTAACGACCACTCTACCAAGAGTGTAGCGACGAAGAAGAAAAATCCCAAACGAATAAGTTTCAAACCATCCCGTCATAAAATCTAAGACACTTTTTCTACAATATGATTTAATAGCCCCATCATGAGTTCATTAAGTATTTTTTACTACAATATTAATCGTGGTCAATTAAAGTAATTTCAATTAAACGAGGAAATACGTTCTTATAGCCCGGTCTATGACGAAGGATCATTTAAGTTACGTAATTGCAACTTCGTAAATGAATTACTAACAGCTATGTCAACAAACTGATCATATTTTCCTGGTTTTATCTAATAGATAGTGTAAAATATCCTATTAATTATTATTATTATCTATTCTACTAGTTATAAGGATTAAGTGACAAACAAAACGTACAGTACAATATTTTACGGTTTAAGACATTTTTATTTTTCAAAAAAGAAAATACATTCATTTACATTGAGAAACACTGGTTAGCAAATTATTCATCATGGAGTACGCTCGACGCTACGCTACGTATTTTGCGTCCCCAAACCATCTGGCCTACGTGGAGTGTAGGCCTAATTCTCCATTTGCTTCTGTTCAATTGGAGTAGGTACTAGGTCAATACCAAAGGTACCGAGCGATTAAAAACTCAGTTCTTCCATAGGCAACAAAGAAGCTGAAATAGCCCAATGGAATCAGTGTTGGACTGGCCGAATCGAAATCCGAGGAACACGGGTTCGAAGTCGAACCCTGCTGCTGGACTATTGTGGTGAGCCCACTCGTATCGTATTCGTAACACAAGCACATTATTATTTAGCTTACCACGAGGGACTAAAAAAAGTTATACGCAATTTATTATTTTTATCATTCAGTTAATGAGTGCATCCAACCCACATTATCACTGTCACATTGTTTTGATATCGTTTCTAGATCGCTTTATGCAACTCCATCGCCATTCGAAATGCAACGCGGATTTGCTTGCGAAAGGCGCGTACGCATGCATTTTGAAAGTGACCGCAGTAGTGATGTTCGATTGTCCACGATTGATAGACTTTATCGATTGTAAAGACAAAACTAATAGTATCGATAGGATCTGGTCTGGCGCAGAATGTACAATTCGCAAAATTCGCATTTTTCCGTACTAGGTATTAAAGTTGAAGAGTTTGTATAATATTTAGTATACGGGACTATTCCCACCTCTCGTCCCCACCGCTGCTACTCCTGTGTAGCCAGGATCTACAGCTTACCCGCCAATAAAAACCCAACCAGTGAAGGTCAAGTTTGTCCCGCAGGAAAGTTAAACTGTCATAGGACCCGTAACGAAATTAATCAGAAGAACATAGGAGGAGTTCAAAATTAAGGTTGGTTTTGTATGATACTATTGCACATGGCAATTATTTTTCGAGGTTAATTATCGATAAAAATTACTATCGATGGTTCCGCAACACTAGACCGCAGGCCTTATAAGTCTTCGTAACAATATTGCGTTCGGTGCATTAGTTATGTTATTACAATGTTTATAATTAATATTATTCTGCAGTTTCATGTAAAAAGTAGGCTATATCCGCGCACCAAGCCTTGTTTATAAAATATTTAAAAAAAGATCTATTAAGAGTAGTGCTGGTTACATTACATTTAGGTGAAAATGATTCCGTATATTTTCTTCTCTTTAGAAGGGCTCCAGGTCGATCGAGAGACTTGCGATAAGTCGATAGCAGAAGCTGTGGGTCTAGACAAAGAGCACATTTTAATCTATGGGGGTTATTTGCCAACAACCCACCATATATTTTACTCGGAATCCTATTCCGATTCTTAATCGTTAAGATTATTGTTAGGCAGTTCGAGTCAGGAAATAAAGGTAGGAAGAACACGGTAGAAGGAAGAATGTTATTAGCGGATAGGAAATTATATTTAACAACAGGAATAGCAAGGGATTGATTAGGATACAATAGCAATAAAATTATTTAAATCTTAAGAGCAAAGCGATCGCGGAAGAAGTGTCACGACGACATATTTCAAATCCCTTCAACGGCGATGAGTGAGCGGAGATCGGTGACCGGCGTTGAAGCGAGACGGCAGCATACGTCTTCACGGGTGTGCGAGTGACGCAGATGTATTGTGACGGCCGCAGCACGCATGCGCCAACGATTCGTTCACGTTCCGTCAAGTCGGGGTTGGCCCAATCTCATAGGCGGAAGCGGATCGCTCCGAAATCTAAGGCGGTGGTCCAAGTTAGGAATGTGGCGGATGGCCGCCACAGTACTCCCCTCCGCAGACCGTGACTACGGTCGATAAAAATCAGGCAGCCGGACTCTTCGACCACTGGAAGTCCGCATGACGTCTTCTTCGGCTGGTTGAGCCGTCTTCTGAACTTCTTTAGACTCATACGCTGCCTTGAGCCGGTCAATGGAGACATTGACATTCTTGGCGTTGACGTCCAAGGTGAAGTATTTAGGTTGTCGGCTGAGAACCTTGTAGGGGCCAGCGTATGGCGGCTCTAGGGCGCCTCTCACGCGATCTTGGCGAACGAAGACGTGAGAAGAGGTGTGGAGATCGCGCGGAACGTAGAAGGCCGAAGTGGAGTGCCAGGTGGTAGGACGAGGAGCAAGCTTCGCCATGCACGCGCGAAGACGAGTCGCGTACTGGGTGACGTCAGCTGTGAGGTAGTCGTCCTTGGGGCACAGAAACTGACCGGGTAGGCGAAGTGCTTCGCCGTACACGAGTTCGGCAGGGGAAGACTGGAGGTCTTCCTTCCAGGCACTACGCATGCCTAGAAGAACCAGTGGCAGTGCTTCAGTCCACTGTGAAGCTGGAGCGTGGCACATGATCGCTGCCTTGAGCTGGCGGTGGAGTCGCTCAACGATACCGTTGGCCGCTGGGTGGTAGGCTGTGGTGCGGAGATGGCGCGCACCAACCATAGAAGTGAGGGCCTGGAACAGGTGGCTCTCAAACTGGCGACCACGGTCTGTGGTTACCCGCTCAGGACAACCGAATCTGGCAATCCAGCCAGACACGAGGGCAGCAGCACAGGTCTCCGCGGTGATGTCCTTCAGCGGATACGCTTCAGGCCACCGAGTAAACCTGTCTATGACAGTGAGGAGGTACCTGTAATCACATGACAAAGGTAATGGCCCTACGATGTCGAGGTGTATATGAGAGAACCTCGAGGAAGGTGGAAGAAAAGAGGATAGAGGAGAGGTAGTGTGCCGGGCAACTTTGCTTTTCTGGCATTTTAGGCATTGCCTAGCCCACTCTCTACAGTCCCTGCGAATCCCTGGCCAAACAAATCTTTGTGTNATAATGACTGGAAAATAAATCAACTGGACATACCTACAGCATTCTTGAATGGGAAATTAGAAAATGAAGTTTACATTAAAGTTCCAGAGGGAGTAAATGTGAAAAACAAGAAAAATGGAACAGTACTGAAATTACACAAAGCATTATATGGACTGAAAGAATCACCCAAATGTTGGAACAAGAGATTTGATGAGTTTTGTAAACAAATAAACATGACAAGATCTAAGAATGACATATTATGTTTATACACAGGAGAAAATATATGGTTAATTGTATTTGTTGACGATATACTACTTATTGGAAATGAAGAGAAAGTTAATAATAATTATTAATAATAGCTAACAATACAATTAAATGAAGAGTTCAAAGCTAAGAATATGGGAAAAATAAAAAACTTTTTGGGTATAGAAATAAAGACAGATAAAAACACAATGAAATTGTCACAAAGAACATTTATTAGAAACTTATTACAAAAGTATAACATGCAAGACTGTAGAGACGCGAAGACACCAATGGAGACTAACTTTGAAGTACCTGAAAAAGAAGATATAATTAGTAACTTACCTTATAGAGAATTAATAGGAAGTTTTACTTACCTCTCGACAATCAGCAGACCAGACATTAGGGTGTCCCGTCGTTGTATGGGAAAAATTTTTTTTTGAGCTACGATTACGCAAGGGGTGTCAAAAGTTGCGTTTTGACATATAGATTACGATTAACATTAAATTTAATTTAATGCATCTCACTTAACACCAGGTGCGATTGCGGTCAAATACCTGCCTTGTCTAGCATAAAAAAAAAAAAAAAAAAAAAAAAAAATTAGATATCTGTCATCTTGAGGCCTCTACCTGTCCTTGAACAATTTTGAAATTGCTATTTTAAGAGTTCCTAACATAAAGTATAAATAATACAAAAATAGCATTTTTATGAAATTTGAGGGTACACAATGAGTCACAGCAAGGTTAAAAATAGTTGAAAAACCAATAAATCCATAAATGCTTTAAAAACAGAATTGGCTTTTTGACCAGAATTAGCCATTTACGCGTGAGATTTTAGTGTGTTCCTTATTAATCCATGGGTCCACCAAGATATCGATTTCATTTGGGGGTACTCAATTCCCTTCTCACAGCAGGTTAATAATTTTATCACGCTATTATAAAACAATGATTGGCATCTCTAAGTGGAAGCTAACAAAAATGGCAGTATATTTTAGAAAATCAACCATAACTTGAAAACCATTTGTCCGATTTGATTACTTTTTTATTTAAATCAAAGCTCTACGTGTGCGCTTGATATTTTGTAGTATAAATTGTTTCGATAAAATCAACCTTCAGTTAGTAATTAAAGGAAATTTGATTTTTTTTACATTTTTGTGATACTACTTTTTAAATCATTTTTTTACAAAATGTCTTATATTCTACTAAAAGTTTTACACGAACCAAAGAAGTGTATTAAATTGTCTTTAATTTGATATATAACATGTATGCGTTTCATAACTAAAAAAATATGTTTACTTCCGTTGAAGTTCACCATTGATAAAAAACTGCGTAGAGAACAAAAACTTCAGCTAGAAAGTGTATGTAACGTTCTAAAATGTTATTTATATTTAATAGTATGCTAAAACTATTAAACATGTTAATTAGTATCCTGTTTAAAAATAATATTTTAAAGATTTTTGGCTAGGTAGTTTTTACCTGAAAAAAATCAAAAAATATATTACTACCATATATTTGGTAAAATTTTGTTAAATTTATGCTAAAAGTATGTAATATTATAACAAAAAAGTGTGGTGCAATACCTTACAGCAATAAAACCTCAACAGAAATAATACCAACAGACTCGCCGAAGAAGTAGAAAATTTGAGAAAAACAAGTCAAAATATGAATTCTGCGAGTTTGAACCAAACCTATTCCTCACTGGAAACAGTCTGTCATTGCCTGCAAATCATAATTTAGGGTTCCACTACCACTGTAATTACAAAATAAAATGAAATAATTGTGAAAAAAATATAATAGATGACAAACAGTGAAGGGCTGATTAAGTGATTTTTTCAGACATAAAAATGCCGGTAGAGCCCTTGAGACATTATTTTATATTTTTTCAATTATTTTTACGGTAATCTACATCTTATTACGCAACTTTTGAGGGGTCTTGTGTAGCGAAAATATAAAAAAAGATATTTCGGGACACCCTACCAGACATTACATTTGCAACATCTTTTNCAGGGTGGAAACGATAAGTGATCTCACTCGATTATTTCTTAACTATACAAGATATCCAAAAACTGGTTACTGATCCTGAAAGTGCTTCACGAGCTCTATCCAACGGTACCAATAATAGGTTACAAAATAAATTGGATCTATCTGAAAATTCAATGTTTCCAGCCTCCATACATTTAGTAAAACCACATAATATTAAAAACTATTCAAGATATCCAAAAACTGGTTACTGATTCTGAATGTGCTCCACGAGTTCTATCCAACGGTACCAATAATAAGTTATTAAATAAACTGGATCTATCCGAAAATTCAATGTTTCTAGCTTCCATACATTTACTACTGCCACAGTCATGGCATTCATGTCTTGATAATATTATAGCAAGTAAAGCCTAAAACCAATGTTTTCCATTAATAATTTTAAATAAGAATGCAATTTACGAGTTAATTTGAAGTGTTTATCATTTAAAATAAAAAAACAACACTTCTTATATTGTGTGCCTGGCATAGTGGCATACATTTAGTATGGAGGCTGAAAACATTGACTTTTCGGATAGATCCAGTTAATTCTGTAACCTATTACTGATATCGTTTGAAAGAGCTCGTGAAGCACTTTCAGGATCAGTAATCAGTTTTTCGATATCTTGTGTAGTTTAGAAATAATCGAATGAGATCACTTATCGTTTCCACCCTGTATACCCTGTGGCAAGTTCGCTTTACTTTTCAGTATCATATGCTTTTTCCAGGTGGACGTAATGGAGATCACAATAGGGCGATTTTTACCATTATTTTTCTTGCCAATTCTATAGATGTTACTGATTTCCTGGCTATCTAAGTGCGTTCCTGAGTCTATTATAATTTCTTTGATATGGTCTATAAGCTCCGCCTCTGGTTTGCCAATCTCTTCGATTCCAAATAATACCAAGTTGTATTTCCTTTTATCTTTCTCTACTGTATTAAGTTTTTGCTCTAATTTTGATATTTTGGATTTGAGTGCAATATTTTCTTCCGTTATGGTTTTTATTCTCTCATCTATCGCGTTCATAACGTTTTTTGTCACTGCCTCGGTTATGACTTTGGCTTGTTGATTTAACTTCTCGTCCAATTTTGACCATAACAGCTCCATACTTTTCTCCATCTTTGTTATGTATTATTATTTTGGTAGTAATTAAAATTTGTTACTGGCAACACTGCCTTTAGCTGTCACTTGACAAGTTCGTTGGTAATGTTGGTAGCACTGTATGCTTGTAGCAGTGTTCAGAGTGGTGAATTGCACTTTTTTTTCTAATTGTTGGATGGTAAATTTATGAAACTAGTGGATTTGTCCTTGCAATCACTTTCCAATTAAGTTTTTTGGTGGTTTTCCAGGTTAATATTGCGCTTTAACACTTTCAATTAGCACTGTTTTCACTATTATTCGTGATTATTTACGGAGCACAGTTGACGTACGTGTTTACAATTCGATCACCGGAACCACATCCATTAAATTGCAATAATTAAAGTTCTACAAAAATGTACAGTTTTCGTTTCCTTAAATTTTCAAAAGTGAATTTTCTTCTGGGCCACCCTGTATTATCTAGTACATAAACTGTAGCTTAGTGATAAAATATTTTTTTTGATAAGGATTAATAGCATAAGTAAAATAAATGCGTTTAAAAAAAAATTCAAGATTTTTAAATAAAAAAATGGTTGTTGTGCCTCACTCGACATAGATAGGTATAGTGTGTCGCGGACTTTTTTGTAGATATTTATAAGATCTACAATGAATTAGAACATTTTATGGTTCTATCTTTTATAGTTTAGGTACCAGCGTACGCAAAATAAGTAACTTTTCTGGTTGATTTTTTACACCTTGTGTCCGAAAAATCCAAATATTTTACGGAACCTTATTTTTTCCAAAATAACCTTTAGCCTATGTTACTCGTGGATAATGTAGCTTTCGAATGGTGAAAGAATTTTTAAAAACGGTTCAGTAGTTTTTGAGCCTATTCATTACTACAACCAAACACACAAACAAACAAAGTTTTCCTCTTTATAATATTAGTGTAGACAAATTGACTTAAGAGATATGACAAAGCGGGCCTTGATGCTACGGCATGCATGTGCTTTGTTTCTAAGAGTTACAAAAGACCCTAAACTTCGTTTACTTTTACGATAGTAGCCATTGCCCATTATACTGTGCCGGATGTGGATACTGTTACCTATTCAGATTGTTTACAATAGGTACAGCTCAGGTCGTTCTACAGATATAATTCTCCGATAATATTAACCAAATGTGGCCGCTTAATGCGGTATGTCGTAAAAACCAATGTTTTTGATAAGGCGGTCATAAAGCATTCAGCCAGGACCTTTGATTTTGGTCAATTTAACCGGTATGTTGTTCTAAACGATGTCGCCATACATCGCCATAAACGGTTTTGACTGTAGGCAATTTTTCTAACCACACTGCACTGTATGTTGTGGGCTCAGTTTGGCTTTTCTTTCTGTGATTGTGTAATGTAAAGCAAAGTGGAGTAAAGTTCCAGCTTTTACGTGGAATTTAATGTAAAAAGTTCATTCATTTGATTTATTTCATCGGAAAGCTTAAATTAGACATAGGCTTTCAAAATTTTCACAGAAGATACATATTGCTAATAGACATTTGCCACTGAAATCTCAGAGCGCCCCTCTTATGCGGTTGAAGCTAGAGGCTATTTTCGATTTTCAAAGAAACCCATCTACTAATTCATAATTATGCCATGCGTTTTTTTGGAATAAAATTGGCACTAATATAATCACATGCCACCTGCTAACAAAATTCGTATCTGTCAATCAAGTCGTTTCGAAGATATGGAAATCTGCGACACTTACAATTTCTCAAAAACTACGGGGGGCACAAAATAAATGTCGCTGCTTGACTCTGGAAAGGCAAAAATACATAAGCTACCTATTGAGATACTTTAAATCTGGCTAAGGCTAATAGGTAAAAAAAATCATGTCGCTGCAGTAACGTTTTCAAGCATTACTGCAGCGCAATCTTATTTTCTCCAATTACTCCGAAACCTTATTCGGCACAAATGCAAGATTCTCGGCACATATACAGGATATAAGGCACTAACTTTTCCACATATGCACATCTTGATTAACGTCACCATGTCGCTGAGGTAACGCTTTCGTTTCTATTGGCACGAAAAACTTTTTTGGATTGTTTGAAGACGTAAAAAAATACTTCACTTTTTAGATAAACAATATTGTTTATTGTGTATCAAACAGTAAACTTATTCTGTGGTGTTAAAAGGGGTTTTTGTCGATTTGTCACTAAGTCGATTTCTCGCACTTTTGTGACTTCCATACTTACATACATTGAAAGTAAATTGGTCATAAACATATTTTATGGCAATACTTCATGCTACAAGTTAATAATAATGTGACGAATTTACACATGCCCTCCCCTGCCCATGGGTACGCCTATAGACACAGCTCTACCAATATTTTCTCTGGTTAAGCTTGCAAACCTCCACTTGTTTTCATAATAACTTTTGCTTTTCAGATAACAATGGGGATACTTTCGGCTATCGTAGTCAACGTCGTTGGAGGCGCAGTGATCTATGGCACCGGGGGCCTGGGCGCAGCGTGGGTGGCCCCTTGGCTGGGCTTCAGCACCGGCGGAATTTTGGCTGGCAGCACCGCCGCCGCCGCCCAGGCGTACTATGGCAACCTGGCTGCTGGGAGTATCGTCTCTCAGCTAACTGCCGTTGCCATGGCTGCCCCTACTCCGTAAGTTAAACAACTAGGTACTTTTACTATAGGCATAGTGATTACTAGGTACTCGGTATACAGGGTGGCCAGGCAGTTGACATTCAAAGCTAAAATTTAGATTTCTTACATCAAGGTGTATCTAAATGACCCCCATGTATGTTATACGATTTTGCTTAGTTAAGTAGGAGATAAAGCTAAATTTTGTGATTTATCCTTAACTATCACCGATGGTTGGTTTTTAATTTTTAAGCTTCTCTATCGTAAGTAAGCAAAAACAAACTACAAGTGCTCGCCAGAGTGAGAAAAAAATTAAAAAACCGACCATAGGTGATAGTTAAAAATAAATCAAAAAATTAACTCTATCTCCTAAACTAAGGCCCAGAACAGACGGTGAAACGCAACTGCAACGAAACTGCAACTGTTAGTTACTTTTGAGTTGCATCTAAGTTTCTGCCATAGCGTCCGATGAGAGACCACACATGACGCGACCAGTTTGAAACTTTCAGTTTCAGTTTCATTCATCAGAATCATCAGAAAGTTGCAGTTTCGTTGCAGTTGCGTTTCACCGTCTGTTCTGGGCCTAAGCAAAATCGTAGAACATAGGTACCTACATGGCGGTGAAGATACACCTTGATGTCAGGAATCTAAATTTTAGCTTTAAACATCAACTGCCTGGCCACCCTGTAAGTAGGAAAGTATAAATAGGTATGTATAACTACTCAGTCAAATGGTCGTTTGGGGCTTGATGTGTTTTGGAACTTTAAAAGTATGTGGCATGTTACTACTTAGAATATATTTACTCTGACGAGTCAAATGCCACGAGACTTCAAGTTGTATACCTACCGTCAACTCATCACATTCACCATGCCACCATCATCCCCGATACCCCGCTGCAGTAGATCCCTGCTCAGTTATGTCTGTTAAAGATACCGACTTGATATGTAGCTATTTCAGGTACCACCATGTAGGCGGGCAATCGCCGGGAGGGGCTGTGGTAGAGAAGGCTTTGTCCGGAAACCCACAGTCTCCTCCCACTTATGGCGAGTGACGGAGCACCGGGGTCTTTTTAGTGGGTATGCCTCGTCCTTCTGACGTGGTGAGCCCCACATAACNAAAAAAAAAAAAAAAAGGTACCACCACTTCTCCAATGTAGACTTTCACTTCGTTAGAACATGTTGTTTTAGATTTTTATAGACAACGTAGGTAGTACCTGCGTAACTAACTTTAGTTTAACAGATTCCAATTTTCGTCATTCATAGGTATAAAGAAGAATTTCGTGCCATAAATTGTTAACTTCCTAAGGGCTGATTTTGATTTAAAAGTTATCCGACGATTGAAAAATTAGCCCTAATTTAAACTAATTTAATAAACTGTTTGTATTTCCAGATAAGAAGACTGCTAAGCTGTTAGCATCAATGGTGCAGTAGGTACCTACCAACTCATCATTTCACGAAGAAGATAAATGGGTACCTACTGCTACTCCCATATTACCTATAAGGTGTTGTTTCGTTATGTTACTCTCATAACAGTAATAAACAAACAAACCTAGTGCTTAGTAATGTCATTTCTCTTCCTTCCTATAAGTATAACTGGTATAACAAAGAATCAAAAACAAATATCAAATCAAATCAAAAAAATCAAATCTAATATCAAAACATTGTCTCTATTATGTCGACCAGTAAGGGCCAACGGGAGCGTGTGCCCTGTTCCCAGGGCAGGGAATACAGGCAGGTATACTTCATTGGTTGTCCTAATATAGAGACCGAACTTAATAGGAATTTTATAGCTCTTTTTAACTCCACAATGAATACGCAAGAGTTCTGAAATGAATAGGCTGTTTTATTATGCTGGTAGCTCAGTTGGTCAGTATTTCGGTAGCTCAGTAGCTCGGTGGCTCAGTGGTCCTGCGTTTCAGCGTGCAGGGTGTAGTAGAGGCCGCGGCGGGTCGAAACGTGAGGCGCGCGTGCGAGCCGCGTCTATTACCTCTTAGGCTCTTAAAAACACCAAATAATTTGACAAATATCAAAACATTGGGTGGCTACTCGCTATCACGTCCAGCAGTAGTGGCCAACGGGCAGATTTCTATAACCTTGTCCCCAGAGATATTTAAATCACTGGTTGTCCTAGAAGTGCCAAAGAGACATACCGAAATTGGTAGGTTATAAAATTAATTCCACAATGAAAACGCGGGAGTTCTGAAATGAATGTTGTTTTATTTTAGATCTCTAAGTAGCTCGGTTGGTCGGTCAGTAGCTCAGTGGGTCGGTGGCTCAGTGGTCCTGCGCTTCAGCGTGCACGCTGTAGTAGAGGCCGCGGCGAGCCATGAGGCGCGCGTGCGAGCCGCGTCTATTACCTCTTAGGCTCTTAAACACCAAATAATTCGACAAATATCAAAACATTGGGTCGCTATCACGTCCAGCAGTAGGTACCTAGTGGCCAACGGGAAGATTTCTATAACGTTGTCCCCAGAGATATTTAAATCACTCGTTGTCCTAGAAGTGCCAAAGAGACATACCAAAATTGGTAGGTTATAAAATAAACTCTACAATGAAAACGCGAGAGTTCTGAAATGAATGTTGTTTTATTTTAGATCTCTAGGTAGCTCGGTTGGTCGGTCAGTAGCTCAGTGGGTCGGTGGCTCAGTGGTCCTGCGCTTCAGCGTGCAGGCTGTAGTAGAGGCCGCGGCGAGCCATGAGGCGCGCGTGCGAGCCGCTCTCGGCCACGCGGCCGCGAGCCAAAGCGCATACGAGCGCCGCGCGCCGCACCGTGCTCAGCCGATGCGCGATCGTCACGCACGTGCGCCCGGCGCTCGCCGCGTCAAGTGCCTCTTGCACGATCTGTGTATGAAGAAGTACTGTTATCTAGCTTTAACAATTGTATCTTAAAATAAATTTTAAAACTTTAAACAATCGTCATTTTAGCCGGCGTTTACCCGTGGTCCCCACAACATGTCCCCCTGGTGGGTCCACGGGTAATTTTTTTTACCCGTTGTCCCACCGTTCTGAACAGTGTTTGCCAGTGGATCTACGGGTAATTTATTTTAACCATGGTCCCACCGCACTAAGTGGCAAACATTGCATGACACCTACGTCTGGGATGAAATATCAAACGCCGAGAAGGATATGAGTGACTTTAACCCACATGTGTGATGTGAAGATAGTATAAATAAAGATATTATAGTGCCGTACCTACCTATAATTATTTTCTATATTAATTATAGATTTTTTTATAATATTATAGATACCTAGGCTAGGTGACAAGCAATGTTTGCCACTTAGTGCGGTGGGACCATGGTTAAAATAAATTACCCGTAGACCCACTGGCAAACACTGTTCAGAACGGTGGGACAACGGGTAAAAAAAATTACCCGTGGACCCACCAGGGGGACATGTTGGGGGTACCACGGGTAAACGCCGATTTCAGCCACAGAACGTCCATTGCTGAACATAGGCCTCCCCCAAATGATTTCCAGATTGATTGGTTAGTAGTGGCCTGCATACAGCGCCTTCCTGTCACCTTAATGTGGAATGTGGAAAAAGTAAATTGATCTGGTGGAAATTAAATCCACGAACTTTCGCTTGCCAAGCTACTGCATCTGAGCTGTCTCCACAGCGGAAAAACCATCCTCTAAAACCAAATGTAAGACTTGGCCTACACTCCCTACCCTGACCAGACGGGTTGGGCAGACTTATGTCTGATATGTCCCCATATTTTTCTTTAAGTCGCCTCTTATTATGACATCCAAGGGAAAAACGGAGGGGTCCTGTTCTCTGCCGGAACCCCTGGGCTAAGTATGTTTATTAGGGTCATCAATAGCTTACATTGTATGCAAATGATTGGGACTACCTTCTCACTCTCGCTGTCTAGAGCGCTGGTCGCCTCATCGAGCAGCAGTATCTTGGGGCGTCGTATCAACGCCCTGGCGATCGCCACCCTTTGCTTCTGTCCCCCTGATAGCTGGGTGCCTTTTGAGCCGATGTTAGTGTCGTAGCCCTAAAATTAACATGCACTCTACAGAAAAGTATAGGTATTTATTGACATGCAAAGGCGACTAAAACATTGCTAATATTGCTATGAAGCAACATGCAAAAGCAGCTAAAGCATTGCCAGGAACTGTAGCTTGCGTGGGAGATCATAAAAATAATTAGTTTTCCAGTTTCCACCAAAGCACCAAATAGGCAGGTTACTCGATCTTTGGATAAGCTACTACACTTCTGTAGATCTTTTTTGTATTACAGCGATTGACAGAGAGGTTTGTGTGGAACTTCCATTTGAGCGTTAAAAAGAAATATCATGCTAATAACTACTTTTTTTCAATACCTGTGGCAAGGACACAATGAAGCTGTGTATATTCGCCTGCTTAGCTGCGTCAACGATTTCGTGCTGCGCGGGCGTTCTCGAGTTGTCGCCGTACGCAATGTTCTCTGCTATGGAGCGGTCGAAGAGGACCGGCTCTTGGGAAACTAATCCGAGGCTCGCTCGAACTTCGTCTACGCGTAGGTTCGGGAGGGAGACTCCATCTAAAGCCTAAATAATTGGAAATAGATATAACACAGATTGGTCCTATTAGAGAAGATTCAACATGACTGCCGCTTTTCTTGTTTCTCCTCGCTGCAATAGAATCTAAGAAAAAGATCTGTATTTAAAGTACCTAGGCAATGCAATAGTGCAATACTGCATTCTAAATAATAAAATAATAGTGTTCTTTGAAGGTGGGACAAGGAAAAGCGAATTTATATTAATAACCTCCCCTAAATGTCGCGTTATTGTCGGTTTACCACAGAATCGATACGTCACAAAAAAAAGTAATGTATAAATTTCGTCATTATTACTTTCCATATACTAAGTAATTTTAAAGTGTGACGAATCGACTTTGTGGCGAATCGACAGTAACCCTTTCTGTCAATGAGGCGAGGGGGAGGCCACAAATAACATAAATGCTTTTTAACTAGCTTTTCATGAAAATAAATATTTTATTATTTATTTATTATTTATTAACTTACAACCACTCCTGCATCCGGGTCATAGAAGCGCTGCAACAGTTGCACAACGGTGCTCTTGCCGCAGCCGCTTCTGCCCACTATGGCAACAGTTGTCCCGCGTTCCACCTATTAAATATGTAGTTATTGCTAGTATAATACGACAACAATATAATCTATGTAAATCTGATAGGTCTGCTCTGCTTTGTCCAGCAGAGGACGTCGATGCGAGGTTACGCTGTATGTAGAGTAGAATATCAATAGAACAAACGATGGCACGTCAAGCTAAGTGACTGTTCTTTATTTTAACTTTGTTCTGTGGCATCTTATGTCGATGTTAGGGGAATGTAATGGATCGATCTTAGTGAAAAGGGACTAAGTACCTACTCTCCTAAAGACTTGATCTTAGCAGAGAGATCAATATAGAATTAGAAGCCCGTCCTGGAAATAGTGCTTCCCACTCGTACCTCTTGGAGCCAAAGCCTTAATTCCACTTAGGTACATTTTAGTGCGGTATGTAATTTAAGCAGTTATGTGGTTAGGTACTTACCTACCAACAATACATTGCTTCCTTACTTTTATTAATCAAACAATCACGTAACTGCTTTTATTTCTTGTTAACAGCCTTATCAGCTAGCAGTTACATGTAACAAGCCGGCTTGTTTTGAAAACCTGAGTGTAAGTAGGTAAGAAGTACCTACCAGGCCACCAACGGTGATAAGTCAATTTACTTACATGTAAATCCAGTCCTCGTAGTACTCTCACGTTAGGTCTGGTAGGATATTTGAACTCTACTCCTTTGAAACTAGCCTCTCCAGTCGCTTTCTGTAAAAAAAACATGGTCATCATGGCTCAATAAATGACTATTGTAAAAAATCTCCAAGTGTATCAAACTTCAGGGGAAGATTCAAAGAGACAAAGGGTCTATTTATCCGTAAGGGTTCCGAACTCAAACACACAATAACACTCTAAGTAATGGTGGATCGAAGTCAGTCCACTTCTTAAGAATTTCTACAATAATTCCGGGTGAAGTTCGGTTCCATCCTCGGTCTGTGATCATCACTTTCCATTAGATATGCCAAGAGCTTCCTCTTTGTGAATAAAAAAAGGTTTTAATCAAAGTAAAAAAACAGATCTAACAAAATCAGTGATAGCGGGCGCAGCAGGATCCGCAATCTTCGACTCCGTGTTGAGGAACTGTATGATCCTGGAGGCGGCGTCGATCCCGCGCTGGAAGTCTGGCGCGAATGTGAACGCGTTTTGCGCCTGGCCCGACGCCATTTGCAACGATTGTGTTGTACTGATGAACAAAATGACAAAATTGATCCAGAGTTGGTGCCGGCTATTTTTCAATCTTAACTAAACTTATACAATAAGAAGTTTTTCAATCTTTTGCCATTGTGACGTTGCGAGTAAGGCCCTTTTCACATGTCTTTAGTATGGTACGTAGCTTTCACATGCACCAGCGTAATTAATCCGGCATGCCCATATACTTCACCACCGGGTACCCGGCGCCGGTTAGCCGGCAACCGGGACATGTGAAAAGGGCCTTACGATGAGCCGAAGAGGCAGTTATTGGGGGAGGTGTATGTCCAACTGTGCATGATGATGATCTCAGCGCTAAGGCCGGGTGCAGCAATGCGATATACCTACTCCGAAACTATTCACTGCAGTAGAATGCTAAAGGCTGATGCTGCTGATGATTATGAATATCTACTTCGGTCCATAGTAGTTTACATGAGAATTCGTTCGCAAGCGACCCCATCAGACACTATGAGGTGCCCGCCGTAGGTCAGCGCCGTACATTATAATCAAAAAATCAAAATCAAAAAATATTTATTCAGTTTAGACCACAAGTGGCACTTATGAACGTCAATAGAAAATAATAAAAAAAGAAAAAGGTAGCCCTTATGGGGCACTTTACATGTCTCCTTATCTTTTGGGCCCTACCAGAACTTATACATGCCTATTTCCAGATGCTAGATGCTGTTACTGGTGATGATGATTATGATGATGATCATGAACATCTACTTCAGTCCATGGAGTAGCTTACATAAGAATGTGTTCGCAAGCAACCCCATCAGACACGATGAGGTGCCCGCCGTAGGTCAGCGCCGCAGCGTTGACGAAGTTGAACATGGACCGCGACAGGCCGGCCACAAGCCCGCGACAGTGCGCCGAACGCCGCGCGGGTGCTAAGGCCGGCTGCAGCAATGCGACGTACTCCGAAATTATCCGCTGCTCTCGCCCTAAGGACGCCACGGTCCGAACGTTTGACACCGCCTCGATTGCTATCTAAAGAAGAAGATCATTATGATTATGTAGAGCAGCGGTTCCCGAAAGGTGGTCCGCGGAACCCTGGGGTTCCGTGGAAAGGCCGCAAGGGTTCCGTAAAAAATATTATCCCACGTTTCTTGACCGACGTTGTTCGCGCGCACTGACTTGTTTACGCACAAGGGAGGGGCAGGGCGTGCGGGCGGAGTAGTACGGGGGTTCCGCTAGAAAAAGTATAATCAATTAGGGTTCTGTGCAAAAAAAATTGGGAAACCCTGATGGCCTCTACCATGTTTGGGATTTTTACCACACCAATAATTCCGACACAACTCTTTCAAAAACATTTCATTCTAGCTCTGAAAAATTGGATGTAAAATTCTATTTTTAATCAATTATGATTATGCCCCATTGAAATACAAAATGTAGGTACGGCAGAGTCACGTCTAGGCAGCTTATTTGACTAGGATGTCCGCTGCACAGTGCACACTTCTAAAATCACTATGAGTGTGTTCCGAATAATAGCAATGCGTGTGGAGTACAATTTGCAACTCGTATTGCTATTTCGGAACACACTTTTTTTTAGCTTTTTTGACGTCTACTATTGGTGAAAAAGAGTTTGTCTCATTGACTTCCACCAACAAACATGAACGGAAAAGACCATAAAAATAAATTTGAATCTTAACTATGAAAAATGACACGAAATATAATAAATATCAATGTTATACCATAGTGCTGCTTTCAAGGGTCTTCACGTGACCTATGGCCTCTTCTCCCGTAGCCTTCCCCTGGTAATAGATGACCACAGAGATGATGGGCAGGAACGAGAGAGCCACCAGCCCGACCCGCCATTCGAACAGCATGGCCAGTACCACCGCCAGCCCTATGGAGCCCACGCCTTGAAGGCATACTCCGATGCGCTGGCCAGTTGCCTGGTGGGTAAACAGCCTGTTGTTTTAGTCACTCTTCGTACGAGTACCTAACTAAAGAGGAGAATTCGCCGAAACGAACTACATTGTTATTTTTTTAGCTACATTGATATTGCAGGAAAAACTTTGGAAATGGAAACCCATCTCAAAAGAAAATTAAATTGATACTCTCTAGTAAAAGCTGGCTGATAATACAAAGTAATATTCGCGTCAGTTTTCACTTTAAAATCACTTCACCGAATGAAATAACTCAATAACACTGGAGCGAAGCGATTATGGAATTAATAAGCTGTTTAAGTTTGGAGGGCATTTAATTTTTTTTTCCGTTTAGGTAGTCGCCATAGTTAAAACAATTTCTGCCTAATTTGGGGTAAAACAAATTATCATGTTCAATGACGTTGTCTCTATCACAAATTCTAGTAAAGCTATCTATGATTACTAACTCCCTGCACATAAGCCGCCTCGCCCGAGAGCCGGGCACACAGCGCGCCCGTGGAGTTGGTTCTCTCGTCAAAGTACGCCACGTGCTGCCTTAACATGTGCTCAAACATGCGGACGCGCAGCCTCTCTGTCAGATACGCGCCCGCCACCCCAAATGTGGTTGACTGGAATGTTACGGAACCAAAGTTAAGGTCCTTTAGGCCAGGTTACCACCAAAACGAAGAAGAGAGGAATGAATAACCAATCCGATTTCGACATTTCCACAACACCTCTGTGCTCAGCTTCAGGTCGCTCCTCTCTCCGCTTCGATGGAAACCGGGCCTTATACATTGCGACTTTTTGCAGCGATACAAAAAAAGCCGCGCGCAACTGTATTGCGATTGTATCGCTGTTAATAAAGATTTGAAGCGATTGTATCAATCGTTACTGGATTGATACTGGATCGCTTTTGGATCGATCCAAAAAGTCGAAGTGTATAAAAGGGTCTACTCCGCAAGTTGTCAAGTTGAGATGCAGAACTTCTTTTTAGCAAGATGGAATTAAGTAAAATTTTACTCACTTCAACCAAGTTTGAAACTCCCATTACTATTCCTATAATAATGCAAACAATGGCTACTCCATTAACTTTTTCCATCAATTGGCTAGGTTCGGGATTGGACATTGCCTGTAAAGGAATAACATTTTTAAAGCCAGAGTCAACAGGGGGTTAGATTCTCTAGAAGGAAGAATCAATTAACTGATAGAATAGTAACATTTAATAAATAACGAGACTGCATAACAATAAATAAGGAGCTTATATCCCGTTATTAAAAGATTAGTGTCATAAAACCCTACAAAGTTAAATTCACAGATTCTTACTCCAAAAAGATCTCCAAAGACCACAATGAACAAAGGCATTGAGAAGCCGATGATGATGGAGGAGACGCTTCCGAGGGTGATGGACTTCCACTCCGGAGCATTGAGGCGGACTACGCGCCAAAATGACAGTTTAGGTGCCTCAGCCTTTTTGTCCTCTTCTAATAACTAAAATATTGTTCAATATCATCAGTGAATCCTTAACTAATCAAAATATCCACGTGTAAATCCTTTTAATAAGGAATAAACAATACTAACATCTGGTATTGATGCATCTTCTAAACTCTGCTCAGAAATAATTGATTCTTCGCGAACAGGAAGAGTATCTACGGACAAAACAGCATCTCTCATTGAACCTTGACAGTAGATACCTACTATACTATGACTACTGTTGGGGATTCACACAGGTTGGAAGGGCAATAGTCTCTATCAAAATTCATCCAATTTAATTTAAAATCGATCGCCCACGGAACCGAATGATGGAATCAAAAAATTTACCTTCGGTACCGCCAAGTTCGTGTCGCTCTTGTAAAGCGACCATCTCGCTGTAATGACCTTTCATCGCCATCAGTTCTTCGTGGCTTCCCTTTTCAACCACCTGACCTTCCTTCATCACGTATATGACGTTCGCGTTTCGAATCGTTGACAGTCTGTGCGCTACTATTATGGTTGTTCTGCCTTCAGCTGCCTGAGAATAAAGTGTCTTTTTTACAACCTTTATCATTTCTTATGGTACCTGCTGCGGTTGTAATAAGATAAAGCAGAATAGAAGAATCTGTATTACCAAAAACTAAGTCATCTTTCCTCGACCATTCTTCATTCTTCAACTCTTAGCTTCTTTTTTATCTATTCTTAACTAGCTTTCCGCCCGCGGCTTCGCCCGCGTGGAATTTTGTCTGTCACAGAAAAACTTTATCGCGCGCGTCCCTGTTTCAAAAACCGGGATAAAAACTATCCTATGTTCTTTACCGGGACTCAAACTATCTCTATGCCAAATTTCATCAAAATCGGTTGCGAGGTTTAAGCGGGAAAGCGTAACAGACAGACAGACAGACAGACAGACAGACAGAGTTACTTTCGCATTTATAATATTAGTTGGGATACTAACCTTATCAAGAGCCTTCTGCACTTTTGCTTCTGAAGAAGTATCCAGAGCGCTGGTGGCTTCATCCAGAAGGAGTATCTTCGGATTCCGGATCAGTGCGCGCGCTATTGCTATTCGTTGTTTTTGACCCCCAGAAAGGGATGCACCTCTTTCACCAACGAGTGTGTCATAACCCTAAAGAAGAACACCTTTCCTTATTGATTATTGATTTTAGTGACAAGCCTACCATACCAGTAATCGGAATCTGATTAATCAATATTTTGAGGAATAGGAATATTTGAATTGAATGTGCCAAAACTGCCAACACATTACCTTGGGCAGGTTCATTATAAACGCGTGCGCATACGCCTGCCTCGCCACTATTTCGATTTCGTCGTCAGTAGCGCTCTCCCGCCCATAGCGGATATTTTCACGTACAGTGGAGTTGAACAGAACAGGCTCCTGACCTACGAGGCCAATCTGCCTTCGTAACCACTGCACTGACAACTTACGCACATCATTCCCATCAATAGACACCTGCAAAATTATTGTAGATCTTTAAAACGAATGTTTGCCCAATACCTAAAAATACCGGTTATGGTAACTCACGCTGCCGTCGATGACGTCATAGTAGCGAGATATGAGCTGAATGATGGTAGATTTCCCGCACCCGGAGTGGCCCACCAGAGCTACCGATTGTCCTCGAGATACGCTCAAATTCACACCCCTCAACACCTTATAAAAATAACCATTTCAGATTACTTTTTTAAATATTTGAAGATATAGAAATACTTAAGTAGGTACTAACGGGCACTTCAGGGCGAGATGGATAGTGGAACACCACATTATTCAACTCCACATTTCCTTCGACCTGGTCCAGTGTGATCCCACTTTGTTGAAGAGGATTAATTGTGGGAACATTGTCCAAAAGCCGAAATATTTGCGCACCCGCTCCGCGAGCTGATCCAAACGTAGACATCAAAGATCCCACCATTCCAAAGTTTCCTAGCGCCGTCATTATCCCGAAAAACACCTAAATAAAAAGAGCTTTTGGAATTTTCCGATTAATGATTTTCCGTTTTTTATTGCTGCTTACCGGACGCTTATTTACTTACGGAAAACATGACATCAGCATTGTAATTTTTCGGATCGTTAATGACTAGGTATATGCCAAAGTAGAAAGACAATGCGTACGAACAGAATACACAGAAAAATAACAATCCCATCGAAAGGCCAGTGAAGAACTCTGTAAAAAAATGGATTTTATGTTCTAGGATTTACTGGTATGTAAAATGGTGCAAATAAACTAACTGATAAGACAAACAGCAAGAAGTACCATGGACCTTTCTTGATGTTGATGCGGCGAGCCTCTGCGAGAGGCTGACGGTAGCGCTCGAGCTCTTTCTTCTGGCCACTGAATGCGTAAACAGTGCGAATCGATCCCAATACTTCTTCCGCTACTGCACTAGCTCGCCCTGTCTCCATCGCTTCTTTTTTGCCGAGACGATTGCCTATCTGACCAAGATAATTGTTTTTTAGTATCACAACATGAAGAAAACAAAATCAATTCATTTCTTTTTTCAGGTAGGTATTCAATGTCAAATGCTAAAAAGTCTGTTTAGCTGTTTGTGTGAGTACCTACGCCACGAAGCAGACGTAGAAAGAGAGACGAAGGGACGAAAGTCTACAACTACCTACAAGATTAGCCAAACGGACTTCTTGAGATGGAAGGTCTTACAATGTGGTAACTGAGGAGGCTTAGGATTTTATTTTTAACATTATAGGCTCCAATTGGCGTTAACGGGGAATAGTGGAATAAGCCGTAGCTAGTAGATTCCCACGATATGACGTCGTACTGTGTAACAATGCCATGTCGTAGCACGACGCGACGTCGTATCGTTTTATGTGTACGAGGACTGAGTTATAATTATGGCCTCATTTCATTTTTAAGCCATAGAAAAGCCGATCACTTTGGAAATGGTTAGAAGCTAGGTTGATCAGATACCGACCAGAGCCAGAGGGACCCCAACTGGTTTTTAGTGGGTAAGTCTTGTCCTTCAGGCGAGGAGAGCCCCACATATCTCATTGGCTCCCCCGGGCCCGGGCTGGTGAGTATGCAGGTTCATGCATTTTCCAGTCGAAAGAAAAAGGTTAATCAGATACGCACCATGCCAGTAAGGCCCACCAGTAAGAAGGTAACGGGTGTCGTGGTGAGGCACAGCAGAGCCAGCTTCCAGCCCTTGAGCATGGACATCACCACGCAACCCACGGCTATGGTGAAACTGTACGCGAAGGCGGCCACCTTATCACCTATACCCTCTTCGACTTTGATCACGTCACTGATGAAAATGGAAACTAATTAACCATTCTTAATTAGGTATAGTTAATATGTAGAGTTTTTGAGATGCAGCTCCAGGTTCATTTAGTTTTAAGCGTCGTGGTTACCTTTAGGGGATTTCGTTGCGTTTCAAGTTAATTAAAATACAGTAAGTGCTAAACAGCAAAGGCTGAAACACCAACAATTTCATACAAAATATTATGGTCTTAGTTACTAACTCAGCCATTTTTGACGAAAAATCGCCAGTTTGATACAAATCAAAATATGCAAAATCTTGATTCAACGCAGACTTCAAATATTCTTGCCTCAATTTAAAAATCTAGAATAAAAAAATATTTTAATTAGACACGAGAATACAACAATAATATTAATGACACACGATTTTACTCCGTAAAAGTTATGTTCATATTATGAAAACTAAGGACGCCTGCATATTTTCAATATATGAATACAACAGAATTTGAAAAAAATGTCATGAACCTGATTTAATGCCGTGATTTTCATGAGCGCTGTTCCCAGATATCCACCCAGGAATAAAACGACTCCCACGCAGGAATAATGGACGCCAAAGGCGTGCATGGACCGTAGAAACTCTTCATCATCCTGCGTGCCAGCCTGAGCTAACTTGGAGTAGGATATCATGGTCTGGAACACGTTGGCTACGAGAGTTATAGCATACGGGAGGGTAATCCCCGCGATTATAGTAGCTAATAAAGCCAAAGCTATCAGTAGCATGTCCCATTTTGTGGCAAATCTGTACTGAAATGAGATGAGAATTTAAACCTAATTATATAGAGAAATCTACATTCACTATTTTTGCATATCAACTTCCAGTTTATTACTTTTTCAAGTAAAAATATTTCAAGATAACCTTACCAGAGTAAAGTAAGATATATTGGGTGCTGTCTTATCTGATTTATTATCCGTGGTATTGCTGTAAAAATATTTAGTTAAAACACAGGACAACTCAATAATTTTCGAGATAAAGAATAGCCTGTGCATAAGCCCTAAAGTACCTGTAAACTTCATTTTTTATTTTGCCAAGGCGGCGTACCATTTTACTACTTGGTAAACAAAATACTGATATAACATAAAAGGTATTGCGTTACATATCGCACTTATTAAGTGTAGAGGAAGGTGTCTGTTTATTATGTAAAGTGTTTTTATAAATAAACCCAACTTATCGTCAGTTTCACGCTGTGGTTTCACGTCACGACACTTTGACACCTCTGACATGAACATAATGCCATAGATTCGAGTTGATTACTCGTCTAAAACCAAAAGGAGTTTCATCTATACTTATAATAAATCTGTAGAGAGGTCAATTTCTGTACATGAAATATATTTTCAAAAAAAAACATACGGGTCGAATTGAGAACCTCCTCCTTTTTTGAAGTCGGTTGATAACTATCAGTGGGTGATTAGTGATCGATACTGATGCCAAAAATGCAATCAGTAAATTTTTTGTCTGTCTGTACTCTGTCTGTCTGTCTGTCTGTATGTTCCTTATAGAAACAAAAACTACTCGACGGATTTTAACAAAACTTGCTACAATTATTCTTCATACTCCTGGGCAGGTTATAGGATACTTAGGAATTCCCACGGGAACGGGCATTAGCGGGAAAATCCTTTTGTATGAAAAATCTAAACCGATTAAGTTAGACGCTTGAAATTTGGCAAGCAGGTACCTTAGTAAACTTAAAGCTTAGTTATAACAGGATATTGCAAAATTCCTACGGGAACGGGAATTAGCGAGAAAAAACATTTGTATGAAAAAATCTAAGCCACGTAAGATAGACGCTTGAAATTTGGCATGCAGGTACCTTAGTAAATTTAAAGCTTAGTTACAACAGGATATTGCAAAATTCTCAAGGGAACGGGAGTTAGCGGGAAAAAACATTTGTATGAAAAAATCTAAACCGCGTAAGATAGATGAAGGGGGTAAAACGGGATCCACGCGTACGAAGTCGCGGGCGGCCGCTAGTACTACATAATATTCAATTTTTAAAGCAAGTGTGTGTTATTATAATTTCTAAATAAATTAAAATATCCTTGGACATTTCCACTACGCTTCTAGTCCCAAACTAAGCAAAGCTTGTACTATGGGTACTAGACAACGGATATAAACATACTCACTTAAATACTTTTTTAATGAAAAGAATGGGACTGTTATTAATTACATAGCTATTGTAGTTATAGTAAACTAAACGTTTTACGTTAGTAATGTAGAGATTTCCATATTTATTTCAATACCTCGAGAAAGTTGGTGATTTGGCCATCTTCGCGTCTGATTTACATTTTAAACTTCCCGCGTTGTTTAACTTATTGATAAGAGAGAAGACACTTGAGTATTGTCTGAATCAGTATAGAAAAGCCGATCGTTGAATCAACATGGTGGTGGCAAAGAAATACACGGTTGTGACTCCATTTGTCGGGGAACCCAAGGAAAGTGATTTTCAAATCGTTGAAGAAGAATTACCAGCTTTACAAGAAAACGGTAAGTTGAAACAAGAAAATGTATGAAATTAAACTAAATAAACGCTCAAATGTTAGGTATATTTATGCGTTAATTTTAGTTTTTTTAAGAAAATAAACACATTCTGACAAAAACAATAATAAACAATTGTTTGAAGTGTTAACTAAGTACCTACCTACACGTTAAAATTAACTGCAATAAAAAAACGTTTTTGAGTAAAATTCCGCTTTCTTTCTTTATCTAAGCTGATTTTTATCTGCGCTGATAGGCAGGTAATCTATGTAGAGTCACTTATCTTACAAGAGTTATTTGAAAAGACAAAAACTATTTCACTTTGGGTTACTTACGTTAAGTTTTAACAAAAAAGTTTATAAATAACCTAAAAATTACGATCAGAACAGAACAATGATTAACATAAATTACCATTCATATTCAAAATTCAATAAGTCGTCCTAGTTTATTTTTTAACTTGATCTTGTTTGTCTGGAACTGGAACGAATGTAGGTACCTAGATTTTTTTCCACATTGAAGACCCAATGGGGAAAAGTTTACCTTATGTTATTCATATTCTGTAATATAGTCCAGTCATATAAGCTTAAATTAGGTAAGAATCTCGGAATTCGAGATACCCAGCTGTAAGTCTGTAAATACTTGTATTGACACCCTAAAAGTTGTCTCAAAACATATGGTAGGGTGTAAGCAACTATTAAATTTTAAGGTCAAAGGTCACAAAAATCGGCTTTTTGCGCTTTTTTTGGAAATATCTCATTTCCTATGGGTTTTTTGCTATTTGTATTTATTATCAATATTGTAGAATACAAAATTCTCTGCAAATTATGTTCAAAAAAATTTTTTATACGGTGAACCGTTTTCGAGATAGAGGGCGGCCGCTAGTACTTATAATAAAACTGTAGAGAGGTCAATTCTATACATGAAATATATTTTCAAAATAACTATCAGGGGGTGATTAGTGATCGATACTGATGCCAAAAATGCAATCAGTAAAATTTTTGTCTGTCCGTCTTTATGTTCCTTATAGAAACAAAAACTACTCGACGGATTTTAACTAAACTTGGTACAATTATTCTTCATACACCTGGGCAGGTTATAGTATACTTAGGAATTCCCACGGTAACAGAAATTAGCGGGAAAATCCTTTTGTATGAAAAATCTAAACGCTTATCGGAAGTTAGACGCTTGAAATTTGGCATGTAGGTACCTTAGTAAACTTAAAGCTTAGTTACAACAAGGAATTCCCGAAATCCCCACGGGAATTAGCGGGAAAATCCTTTTGTATGAAAAATCTAAACCGCTTAAGTTGACCTGAAGTGATGCAGTGACGCGCGCTCTCCGCCCTCTATCTCGAAAACGGTTCATCGTATAAAAAAAAATTAAACAAAATTTGTAGAGAATTTAGTATTCTACAATATTGATAATAAATACAAATAGCAAAAAACCCATAGGAAATGAGATATTTCAAAAAAAAGCGCAAAAAAACGATTTTTGTGACCGTTGACCTTGAAATGGCAATGCCAGATTTTGTACGGAAGGTGGCGTCTTTTTTTTTTCGCGCGGCCATCGACCAAACTTTGTTTTTTGATTACACCATAGTGTAATAAACCAAACTTACTATGGCATGTATACCTCTAAACTCAGTCTGAACTGAGTTACGAGCATTAGAAGTTTGATGATTTTCATACTAGATTTGCTTTTTGCGCGCAAGTTTTGTAAGAAATTGCAACAAAATATTGCGCTATTTTTTTATTGCGCTGATTCTGCTGCATACTGATAATGGATGACATTGTTTGTTTACACATACAATGTCACTATTTTGTTGCAATTTCTTACAAAACCTGCGCGCAAAAAGCAAATCTAGTTTTGCGCGCAAGTTTTGTAAGAAATTGCAACAAAATATTGCGCTATTTTTTTATTGCGCTGATTCTGCTGCATACTGATAATGGATGACATTGTTTGTTTACACATACAATGTCACTATTTTGTTGCAATTTCTTACAAAACCTGCGCGCAAAAAGCAAATCTAGTATGAAAATCATCAAACTTCTAATGCTCGTAACTCAGTTCAGACTGAGTTAAGAGGTATACATGTCATAGTAAGTTTGGTTTATTATACTATTTTGTAATAAAAAAACAAGGTTTGGTCGATGGCCGCGCGAAAAAAAAAAGACGCCAATTTCCGGCATTGTCTTTTAATAGTTGCTTACACCTTATACACGTATTTACAGACTTACAGCTGGGTATCTCGAATTCCGAGGTGAACTTACTATAATGACTGGACTAATATTACAGTTTACAAAGTAAATAATGAATTCTACCTTAATTATTATTTACTTTACTTATTTTACATACCTACAATAAAATTATTTCCAGAATTTCTAGCAGAAGCAGCATACTTCAGCGTTGACCCCTATCAAAGAGTAAAACTCGGCGCTATTTACCCATGTGACATGATCGGAGGTCAAGTAGCGAAGTAAGTTGGTATCCAGCAGGATAAGCATAATGGCCTCATTTTTTTAAATTATTAGTAATTTGTAATTACACAAATTATTACTAATAGTCCCGTTAGCCCCTCGTACTGAACTAAATTGTTGATTGAATTGCTTGTATCACGAGTGAACTCACCACAATAGTCGAGCGGCGGCGGGGACCGAACCCGCGTTCCACGGATCACGAGTCGGCCAGTCCGACCCCTTCACACCGTTCGGCTATCGTGGCTTCATTGGAATTTGGATCTAAAATTTTGATTTGTAACGAATCAAAACGTAAAAGACAATAAGTAAGTATAAACCTAACTTTTTTCTTTCAGAGTAACAGAGAGCAGAAACCCTGATTATCCCGTTGGTGCTTGGGTCATGGGACATTTTGGCTGGCGAACACACACCGTCGTGAACCCGGAAAACTCGAAATTTTCTAACCAAAAGCCTTATCTGTACCGCTTACCCGATTTTGGAGAATTACCCGTGTCTTTGGGACTCGGCGTTTGTGGAAGAGTTGGGTAGTAATGTTTTAATTATTAAATTATTTAAGACATTCTAATACGCTAAACAAAATAACAAATAGTCCACCGCTGGGCATAATTCTAAAAATTCAAAACTACTACATCAATAAATACAATCGCTTTCATCTACGATTATTGCGTTAAATTCTATTTCGGATTTTGAGCTAAGTCATAAGTACATTACAAAATACAAATACTTACAACAATATGATCTAAGCTACGCTACGTTACTCGACATTTTCTGACATTTACAGAAATACTGCATACTTCGGCCTTACCTCAATCTGTAATCCCAAGGCAGGAGAGACCCTCGCCATTTCAGGAGCTGCCGGCGCTGTGGGCTTACATGTGGGACAAATTGCAAAAATATTAGGTAAAAAGAAAAACCTAAAAACTTGAAATGAGAAAAGAACTGTTTTTTTTATTGCAGATTAAAACGAGGTCGAGTTAACTGCGCACCTGGCAGACGTGACGTCACATCGATGTCGCAGGCAAATTGTATGATTCCGCATTTTACAAACGGCGTCGTCCGTCAGTTCACAAACGTTCGCTGCTCTATGAAATGCCGAAGGCAAATGTAAATTGCCTGGGCACTTTATAATATGCCAAAACATTTGATAGCCAATTCAATTGCTGTTTACAAAATGCCGCGGCAAATTGAAGTATTTAGTTCTTTTTCTTACCACGCGAGGCGCTGCTAATTAAAACAAGAAAAATGGCGTCGAGTCGTGGTGTTGTGATACAGAAAACAGTGCAAATTCTACATATTAAAAGGACTTTTCACATAAAAAGACATTGATTATACTTAGTGAATTAAAAATATTTTACGATTCATAAATAGGAGCAGTGAAAAAGCTATGGAAAAATGAAATAGTTTTTGAGGTTATCCGGCACGTAAAAAACGCTAAGGTGACTATGGAATCTGGTGCTCGGACTAGTGGTGGACTGCTGCGGAATATTATTGGTTTAAAAAATATTGTGTTGTCTTCTAGACTTCTTCTAGGTATAATTAAAATGTAAGAATTAAAGGACTGACTATCGAAACTCATTTTATGTCATAGGTTTATGTAGGTACCTACCTATAGGTACGTACGTCAATAGTTTAATTAAATTAGTTTAGTGTTGTTTTTATCACGAAAATATTTTAATTACTTTAGGAGTAGCTAGTATTTTAGGTTTGTCTTATCTGAATAGATACCTACCTGATTTCTAAAATTAAGTCTGATTTGTCCAACATGTGTTTTATGATGGTCACCCTATTGCAACAATCATAGTCGAAATTTTATCAATTGAACGAGTCGCCAATTTGCCTTCGGCATTTCATAGAACAGCGAGCGTTTGTAAACTGACGACGCCGTTTGTAAAATGCGGAATCATACAATTTGCCTGCGACATCGACACTGGTACGCGCGGGGCGAATGCGAGGTGTGCGGGTGAGTGCGAGGGAGTCGCATTCCAACGAGGTGCGCAGTTAACTTGATCGGGTTGTATTGTATCTACTTATTAAAAGTACCTTAATGAAAAAGGGCTACTATAAAGTCGATGATTATTTAAAAGATAAAAATGTTTGGGATACTTTACTGCCTAGCTCGCATAAATATTTATAACTTTGTACATTTTAAAGCATGTAAACCTTTGAAAAAGAGGCTGACAATAGTGACTGAGTTTCTTGCGCTGCTTCTTCTCAGCACTGGCCCATTTATTGTCCTGAAGCAGTGGTAGGGTTAATACTGGGACGTGTAAAAGTGCTTTTTTTAAGCCTATTTACAGAAATAAATGAGTTTTATGAGTTTTTTATTTTCGGATTTTATTTTGAGGCAGGATCTTAATTTTAGAGAAATACTTAAGTATTCATAAAACTGTAATTCTGATTCCAGGTTGTCGCGTGGTTGGCTTCGCTGGGTCAGACGAGAAATGCGAATGGCTTGTGAAAGAGCTTGGATTTGACGCGGCCAGTAATTACAAAACTGATAATATTCAACAATTCCTAAAAGAAAACGCTCCTAATGGCGTAGACTGTTACTTCGACAATGTTGGTGGGGAAATCAGTAGTATGGTCCTGTCCCAAATGAACAACTACGGGAGAGTGGCCGTTTGCGGGGCTATTGCTAGTTACAATGAAACTGATCCAGAAAAACGAAAAGGTAAACTTATAAAACATTTATACCTGATCACTATAAACAAGATAATTTTCGCCAAAAAGAGTAGGTATTTAAAAAATTGGTTCTGTTTCAGCAACTATAATACAGCCATTCGTTGTCGGCAAACAATTAAAAATAGAAGGATTTCAAGTCAACAGATTTGCTGATCAAACAATGGAAGGAATTAAACAAAATCTGCAGTGGGTTAAAGAGGGCAAGCTAAAATACCGAGAACACACCTATGATGGCTTTGAAGCAGCAGTTGAAGCTTTCCTTGGATTATTTACAGGGATGAATACAGGAAAGAGTCTCGTCAAAGTGTCATAAAAACATTTTTATTAAGCTATCTTAATGATTATAATAAATATAATATATACATATAACATTATTAAAGCATATTCAATACAACACCACACCTTATTAAACCTTAATCACCTGCGTTTGCGTCGCTTAGGAGCAGGTTGGTTCGAATTTTTTTGGTCATATTTATTTATGAACAACTCTTCATAAATTAAACTATTAGCATCAGGACTTAAAAACTTTGACAGCTCTTGGTAAAGTTGTTTTTTGTATGATTCTTCCTTACACGATGTCTGTGTGGCAGTTGATTTACGAGGCTGAGATTTTTGGTTTACACACTTTTGTAACTCAGCAATTTTTTTAGAGTTTTGATCTATTTTATCTATTAAAATATTTTCCATACGCTGCATTCTGGCTTCTATGAATTTCATAGTATATTCATGTCTATCTGGCAATTCAGCTTCTTTTGAGAGGTAGGAACCAATATTTTGTTTGGAACTAACTTTTTCTTTCAACTCCTTTCTCTTTGGACTATCTGCAACGTTTTCAGCATTTTTATCGTGTTCATCTAGTTTTTCTAAACATGTTTCTATTATATCACGCAACTTTTTATTAAAATTTCTCTTCTTTTCTATAGCAGCAACCCTCTCAGGTGAAATTTTATTTTTTATTGCAGGTGGTTTGGGAATTATTTCTCTTATTTTCATGCCTTTTTTATTTTGTACTTTTAAAGGCCTTGATTTATTATCTACCACTATATTTTTAAATTCATCAACTTTCTTTGGGATTACTTCAGTGGTACTAATTGTTTGTTGTGTATTATTTGTAATATCTGGTTGTAAATAACTTATTTTTTCTTTTTTGATTGGTATTACCAGGGATACTGGAACAGGTTCCAGTTTATCACTTATTTTGATAGGGCCTGTGATTTTTTTGTCACATAGTATCTTGATTTTAGGTTTTTTAGTTTTATTTGAATTTTTTTCCTGATTTCGAATTTCTTGTTGCTGTACTTCTGTGCTATTATTTATAATACAATTGTCTTTAATGTCGTACTTTTCTTCAAAGTTATCTACTGGGTCATATGGATTTCTGTAACCCGAGGGACCTTTCAAAACTAACATATTTTCATGAAATTGAGTAGATGTTTCAGGATACTGAATTTCTGAGGGTTGTTGAATGTGGCCATAATTATTTTCAGAAGTCATTGTATGGTCTTCCTTTTGTGGCCATTTTAAGTTTAAATCGGTTGGCTGTTCAATAACTACATTAGTGAATGTATTAAAGTTGTTCATATTGGCTATCATATTATTATTCTCTTGGTTTAAAAGTAATTCATTCAAATCTTGATTTAAAGGAATATTGTTATAGGTTTCCTGATTCGTAATAACATTAACTGACCCTTGATTATCAAGCAAATTTTTAAATTCATTATTTGAAATGGTAAATACATCAGTGACAGGCTTCTTGCCTTTATTTGACCTTTTGCTACGAGTTGAAACTCTTGTTATTTGCTCTGAAACCTCATTTGTTGTACTAATGTCAGGTAGCGTTGCATTTTCAAATTCTGATATTTTTGTGTTCAGTTCTATATTGCTTTCAGTGGGCAGAGTATTAAAAGTATTTTCAATGTATTCCTCTTTCAGTGTATCATAAGTATTTTGACTACTTTTAGTCTCCGATTTAAGTTCATTAGTGACAACTTTATTGTTCCATATTGTTTCATTCAATGACTGCTTTTCCCAGGTATCACCATTGGTGAGAAAATCTGCGTAAATAATTGAGGACTTACTTTTATTAACATACTTGTTTGGAACATTCTCACTATCGTTTAGTATAAGAGAGTACACATTAACAGCAGCATTAGCTTCCATTGTTGATTGCTCATCTGAAGTGTTACTAGAGTCACAGTAAGGCCCATCTTCCGTAGGTATGGCATAATGAGTCAGTCGTTCTTTCTGAAATTAATTAAAACATTGTGTAAAGAAAATGTTATCATCAAATCACAATAAGCATAAGCTTATTCTCCCAGTTTAAATACTTTATGAGTCTTTGTTTTTATAAGTGCCACTTGTGTCTAAACTGAATAAATATTTTTTGATTTTGATTTTTTTTTATTTTGCTTTAAAAAATATTGTTTCTTACACAACTTATTAATTTAGGACAATATTATGCAGAATCATCAGAGATAAACTACATTTAGATATTTATTTTACATATGTAAGTATATTAAACTCTATCAATTGTTAAATGTCTAATAGCTATTTATAAGGCAAAACTGATTGATTACCTAATACCACAGAATAATAATAAGTACTACGTACAGAAGTTTTCAAATCAAATCAAATCAAATATATTTATTTTGCGAACATGGGTAAATGTAGGTATTACAAGTATTTTAGTATCTCCATCTTCCACCTTTTGGCATGCAAAATTATAAATCAAACTTATCAAATTTCATTTACATAAAAAATAATTTTCACTTAAATAATGTCAGATCAATCGCAGTCATATTATAATTGAATAAACAAACTAACTTTTACTTCGCAAAGGTATTTAAAAAAATGTATGCTCACAATGTCATTAACAATATGGTGTAATTTAGCCTGTCTGCAGAGTCAAGCACCATTTTGTTGACAAACGTCAGTGACCGGCACTGCGCCGAAGCTATAGGGCTGACTTCGGTAAAATGATGTGACGTGAGGTGCCAAACTGCGGAAAATGGCGGAGGAAATACATGATTTAGCATGAATTATCATGAATAATATTAACTACTTATTTACCTCTCAGTGTCTTGAGGCAACTTAAAAAAGTACATTCTGTGTTTTTATTATTACTTATTTAGGCAGTTAAATACTGCACAGTATTTAGTACACTATTTTCTTTATTTTCTTCCATCATACACATGAATACGCGTGCATGAGTCAATGTTCGCTCGTATGTGAGGCCTTGTCGAATAGTATCCTGTAGGTGGGCCATCGTGCGTGTTTTGTTTTCGATGTAAACTCGCGGAGATAAACAGGCCTGCTGATACTAATACCCAAGTCAAAATTTGGATTGGTAATGATATGAAGTTTAAACAATAACATATTGCTTTTGGCAACCTCTAAAGGAATCTTAGCAACATTTGGTCTATTTATACAATTGCTTAGGATACATAGTTAAATTCAGGTTAAAACTTACCAGATAATTCATAAAACATTCATCTTTGAAGTGATGCTGGCAAACAATTCTGTTCCTTAACTGAGACACTTTTAGGTTGAGAAATTCAAATTTTTGCGCGTTGACCAGCCATTGGTGACATCTCTTTTTGTCATACACAGGATAATGAAACATATGAACGTCTTTGGTACCAGACCTCACGCTACAGTTGCGATATGTGCATTTGGATCCTCCCATGATTGTGAAGCTGAAAGCACAAACAAAAATTCATCAACATTTACCCACCTGAATTCCAATTCTCCCAAGTCTCCCAAGTGCTCCCAAAGAACATAAAAAGGTTGATTATAAAGTTCATAAATTAAAGATATTTGTCAAACAGTTTGGAGTAAGTTCCTCTAAATTGATTTCCTATTTTTACCAATCTAAAAAACTTGTTATGAAGCAACCTTAGTACTTTAAACCGTCTTTAATATTGTTTAGTTTCTAAAAAGTAATAAAATGCAGCTTTTATTGAATAGAATAATGAAACAGGAAGAAAGGACAAAAAGAAAGAAAAAACTAACCTCTTCCAAACAAAGTTTTTCTACTACACACAGATGTTATTATTATTTTGTCTCAATTTATTGTTCTCATAGAGTGCTAGATAGCAATAATTTATTTTTTCACGGATTCATTATTAAATAATTACACACATCAAGCAACAATCAACTCAAGCCAAGCAACCACAGACTACAGAGTTAATGTCAATAATGTCAAGCTGTGTGTCAATGTCATTAATGTCAAAGTCAAGCAACCACAAACCACAGATTTTTTTTGTGTTCCTTTGCAGGAAAAGGCATTACGTTAAACAGTTTTTATTTTACGTTATTGCTTTCAGTCTTTATTTTGCTGACCATAAACTTGTAAAAAAGCGTTTCAAAAATGACCTTTAGTTTCAGTAAAAATACTTCTTGAGATAACTTTAAAACCGATGTTACACCGTTTCATGTGCTTAGTACACTCAATTGTTATAATAATAATTAATCCTTTAGTTAGTTAAGTAAGTACAGTATATTCGACTAGTGATTACACAACCGCGCTGAACTGAACACGATACTTCACTTTCCCGCCAAGAAGTTTAATGACATTTCGCCGAAATAATGCTCCTCTCCGTTTATCCACTGCGAGATTAAACAAAACGCGCAAAGTTAAAATTATGCAATAATGAATGGCCCCTTACCGGCAAAATAATAACATTATAATATATGCATCTCGGATCACGTGCTGCTTATCAGGTAAGCAAAGCAATGAACATTACCTAATAATAATTAAGTGTCTTAGAAAGATGCTCTGTAAACTTTAAGGCACCTAGATACTGAATAAGTAGACTTATTTTCAATTTGCAGTGCCACAGCTACCGATCTTAGAACTCTAGTTTAGTCTCGACGACCTTTCACCTTTCACATGGCTAACTTTATGAGGCTCGACTTACTCTATGCTGGTATCCATTGGCGTATTTAATAAATAATCTACGACCCGCGGGTCATATCCGGCCCGCCACTGCCATCAATCCGGCCCGCGACAGCTTAAGACTATGCTTATTTTTGCTTAGGCTTCCCAAGCTTCCAAGGCTTCAGTTTGGAGACTCCTGAGCTAGAGTAAGCCTAAGCGCAGACCATCGATTTTTCGTCGGCCGGTAGTTAAGTCGGGCAGTTGATCAGTATGGGCATGTATGGAAGTGCGCACACTTTGGTTTGGCCGATTCTTCATACAATTTAAAATAGGGCACAACTATCGGCCAACTAAAAATCGATGGTTTGCGCCTAGTCTAAGGGCACAAGACCATTCTGGGCTCTGGGATGGGCCGTGCCCATTTTATTATTTTGATCTTTTAAAAGATACATTTTCAAAAAGAAACTTATTCTGAATTGAGATTTTTAGCTTTAAGTAGAAGATTGCTCATCTTAAAGCTACAATCTCAATCAAGGCCGGGCAGTAATCGTGTCTTTAGTACACAATTTACTTATTAATCATGTTATGGTGATGGCGCACAAAAGCTTGCCTGCCTGCCTATCATTGTTAACATTACATTGACTGGGTAGGTATTAAATTTCATCATGCATTTTATTTGTACATACAGTCAAATGACTCTATTTTTTTGTTTTAAAATAGCACCTATTTACATCCTACATAAAATCCCATAGTTTACTTTACTGTCGTCTGTTCGTTTATTTATTTATTTATTTATTTNTATAATATTCAGTTTTATTTATTTCAAATTCAATTTTTTATTGCACATTAAGTGTCTTTACACAAGGTCTTAAATCAATAACAATTAAACTTCAAACTAAATAATACTTAAACAGTTTTTTTTTTTTTTTTTTTAATCTTAATTTAAGGAGCTTGATCAACATTAGGCGACCATGTCGCTCCGTACAGATACATTTTAGTTACATGAATGAGTTTGAGCAGAGTTACCTCCGTTTCAAACCCACTCTGACCAATTTGTATAGTGCTCTGGCTTCCTTTGATAGAGGAAAAGCCATAACACTATTACATCCCCCGACATTCCACAAAATTTCACAAGAGAACTGTAAATTAATTCTAAATTGCTCGTTGCGGACACATTCCATCAAGATATGATAAACATCTTCAATTACATTGCACTCACTACAATTAGGCGTCTCGGACTTTCTCATCATATAAGCGAATTTATTTAGCGGAATGTGTCCGGAACGAATTCTTAATGCTATTACTGATTCTTCTCTACTTAAGCAGTTGTCAATCCAAGGAATACTTAATGGTTCTGGTTGTATTGTTCTATACCAAATACCAGCATCTCTCGATCTCTTATCAAAATGTTCCTTCCACAATTCGTAACACTGTCTCTTAGCCAAATGTAAACATTCAGTGAAGAATGGAAGTGTCGGTATAAGACATCCATCTGTAGAAGCTTCCCTTGCCAATCTGTCTACTGTTTCATTGTGAGAGATACCACAATGGGATGGAATCCACTGAAGAAGTATTTTCTTTGACTGGTTTTGTATTTCTACAATGAGTTTCAGGATAACATAGGCAATCGGGATGCCTCGAAAAGTCGAGGTGCACCGAGCCAAATGTTGCAAAGCGCTTCTTGAATCAGTAAACAGTACAAACTGAACTCTGTCGTTAATAGATAAGATGTAAGACAGTGCTTCGGCAATGGCAATTAGTTCAATGTGCATAATAGATAATTTTGAAGTAATTTTGAATTTAGCATTAATATTTAACTGAGGGTCGTATATAGCAGCACCTGAATCACCTAAGTCTTTGGAGCCATCTGTAAATACATAGTAGTATTCATTATATTCTGTATTAAATAAATCATAAACAGTTGATTTTAGTTGCTCTGAGTTGCAAAGTCGTTTTGGTTTATCAACATTAGCAATATAAGGTCTTACAATGTGCGCCATATTAATGTAACTAACCCATACATCCAATGTAAACATATCTAAAAGTGAGGTATTATGTACTGCTAACTCTTGGAAAGAATCACTGACTGTCACCAAAAGAGGAGTTTTAGTTCTTTTCCATTTGTTACTTCGACAGAGGTTGGCAAGACTCTCAATGGAGTGAACAATTGGATTAGCAGTCAGAGATCTATTTTTTAAGTAATATTTATAGCCGAGATATCTTCTACGAACGTGCAATGGTTGTAGTGATAATTCGCTCTCCATAACATGGATTGGCGTACTTTTAATAAAACCACCTACGATTCTCATTGCTGTGTTTTGCACTGAAATCAATTTATTTAAGTGAGCTTTGGAGGAATCATCATACAAGAAACAGCCATAGTCCATTCGGCTGCGGACAGTAGCTATATAGATATTTCTTAAATGTTTCTGATGTATACCCCACCCAGATCCTGCCAAAACTTTAAAAATATTCAGGAATTTTAAACATTTCTCTTTTAATTCATTTAAATGTTTGCCCCATCTAAGGGCACGATCTAACCAGAGGCCCAAGTATTTAACCTGTTGAACTATTTCTATTGAAGTATTATTAATTTTAAGATCCACGAATCCTCCAAAAGGTCCTTTTTTAAAAATGCAGAGTTTACTTTTCGCTGATGAAACCTCTAGGCCTAACTTTAATACTAAACTTGAAAATAAATTTAATGCAGATTGCAGTTCAACTAAACCCTGACTTATCATTTTACTTGATACATATAAAACGAAGTCGTCTGCATATTGTGTAATTCTTACGTTTTTGATTTGTTTGCAAATATCTATAGTAGCTATGTTAAAAAGTAACGGGGATAGCGGGTCACCCTGAGCTAGGCCACTACCACAATATCTAGTTACATTTGTATTATCTATTTGGATATTTATATGTCTTTCCTGCAAAAAATTCCAGATATATTTGCATATTTTGGATCCTACATTGAGATTATTTAATATATTCATTAATGCTGTGAGATCAACGTTATTGTAAGCGTTGTCAATATCTATAAAACATCCTAGTGTGGCTTGGTTGTTTGCAAACCCTATTTGTATGTCCGTTATTAATTGAGTGAGATTGTCTAAAGATGATTTTGTTTTCCTAAACCCATAAGTGAATTCTGAGAATGCAAATTTTTTTTCCAGATACCATTCTATTCTTTTATTGATTATAGAGTGAAAGATTTTACATACACAAGATATAAGAGAAATTGGGCGCAGCGATGAAATGGAGTTAGGGTTCCGACCTGGTTTTGGAATTGGAACTATCTTTATGTCTCGCCACTGTGATGGAACAAAACCTGTGTTTAAAAACAAATTATACAAATTTAATAAATGCAGTTTTCCATTTTGAGGCATATTTTTAATCATTGAGAAAGAAATGTTATCGTGACCAGGGGCAGTATCCTTTGGTTTTACACATCCTTCTAGCTCATGTAAAGCTATAGGCGTCTCAATTATCATATTATTGGAATCAAAAGTTTGAGTAGGAGGTGTTACATAATCGGGACATAACTTTCTTAGAAGTTTACAAGCCTTGTCATCATCTACTTGAACTTGTGCTGAATATCTACCCTTAAACCATTTCATTTTAGCCCAAGTTTCACTTGAAGAAGATTGTTCACTAATTGAGTTACAAAATTGATGCCAACTTTTTCTTTCAGCTATTCGTATGAGCCGTTGAGATTCATGGACTTTCTCTAATAATAATGTGTGATTATCAGGTGTCGGGTTGCGTCTAAACATTGCAAGGGCGCGTCTACGTACAGCAACTGATTTCGATAATTCTGCGTTCCAAAAAGCTTTAGGGGTAAATTTGGTTTCTGGGCTTTGACAGATTTTAATACATGGTATAAATAAATCTGCTGCATCATTAATAATATTAAGAAAATTATCGTATGCTAATTGAGGGTCATCTGGGATAGCCAGGTTTGAGAATGATTGTTCTAAATGATTTTTGTACGAGAGCCAATCAGCCTTTTTAAAATTTCTTTTTTCCCTTAAAAATGTATTGATTAATAATTTTGACGACATTTTAATGATTAAATGATCACTACCTAACGACTCATTGGTAACATTCCAATTGAAATCTAAAAATAAATCTGAAGACATTAATGAAATATCTGGCGCTGATTCACGTAGTGATCCCTCCACCATTTGGAATCGTGTTGAAGAGCCGTCATTTAAAATAATTAGGTTACTATTTAAAACGGAATCTAATATTTGTTTGCCCCTCGAATCTGTTTTATTCGACCAATTTGTATGGTGACCATTAAAATCCCCCAAAATAACAGACTTTACGCTACATAAATTAAATATGTAGTCCCAATCGGACTGGGTAGTACGTATATTATTAGGACAATATATACCAATAATGGATTCAATGTTACAGTTGTAGATTTTAACTTTAACGACCTCAAAGTGTAAATTTGGATGTATAAATTGTATGTTTTCTGATTTTATTGACTTGTGTATCATAATTGCGACTCCGCCGTATGGCAAGTCCCTATCTCGTCTATAAATATTATAATTTTTAATTTTTAATTCATACTCCTCCTCTAGCCACGTCTCAGTGATAACAGCAACGTGAATTTTTTCCTGGATCAACAACTGCTTAAATGAACTTAACTTATTTTTAATACTACGAGCATTCCATTGGTAAATATTTAAAAAAGAATTTTTTGTGACGTATCTATCCATTAAAGAGAGAGGAAAACTGCTTAACACAGGTTAATTCGGAAAAACTCTCAACAAAATATGCTAGAATCCAATCTTTTGCAAGAGAAATCGAACACTTAATTTTTTCCTCTAAATTACATTTTCTCAAAAAAATAATGTCTTTTATCTTTGCAATTAAAGTACTAAAACTGATTAATTTCCTGGTATTTTCTTGTTCATCCATTTCCGATCCACACGGCGAACCTTCATCGACAGAGATATTGCTGGATATCGCAGCTGATTCCTTTATTTCGCAACTATCGCGCGGCTGTTGTTTCTTTTGTTTACGTTTCGGCGTGCGGGCGGCTATATCTGCATACGTATTTTTGTTCTGCGACTCGGGCGTAGACACGTGCGCTTGCGCCGCGGCCGGCGGCGGCGGGGTGAATGAGGCCGGTTCGACGTAGCATTCAGCTAATATATCGTATCTCGTATTGTGACTTGTATTAGGTGTAGCTATATGGATAGGTGTGTGCTCCGAGACCTTTTGTATATTTTGTTGTCTTGGACTTGGTGGAACGTACATAGATAAGGCTTTTTTGTACGTGACTTTATATTCTGACATTAATTCCCGTACCTTTTTTTCCTTTATGTATATAGGGCAAGTTTTAGACAAAGCCATGTGTTTGCCCCCACANGAAGTTAATGTCTGTTCCAGGTTACTCAGGTGTTTATTGTATGCAGATTTTTGTAGTTGGTAGCATCTATGCCTTAACAGCTCAAACTCTAAAATATCACGTGGATTTTTGTTATACTTGCGCACTTTTAGTCTGCATTTGTGTTTTTCTTTTAATGATTTGATAAGGCTCGGCGTGAACCAGGGCGGGAACTTATAGTTTGGTGGTTTAGACTTCGGGACATGCTTCTCGATTACATTGCGAAGGATGGCATGGAATTTGGTCGACATCAGATCAACTCCAAGGTCGTCCGGTAATACGTCGTTCCATGATATCTTCTGTAGCGCAGCAACTATCTTAACGTAATCAGCCTTGAAGAAACAGAACTTTACGTCACTATTCGGCAAAAGAGTTACAGGGTCAGCACTAGGGACTATGAATTGAAGCGGTGGATGCAACGGATCCACTGATGTTAAAGGATCTGAATTTAGGTCCAATTCCGTAATGGCAATTGAACAAAGTACCAGGTCTAGTATTTTACCCTTCACATTTAAAACACANTTTTTTGTACGTGACTTTATATTCTGACATTAATTCCCGTACCTTTTTTTCCTTTATGTATATAGGGCAAGTTTTAGACAAAGCCATGTGTTTGCCCCCACAATTGGAACACAAATAAGTGGTGCTGTCACAGTTATCATGGTGCTGCGCACATTTAGGGCATATAACTTTATTAGCGGGACACAGTTTTTTATTATGTCCAAAGCGCCAGCATTTTGAACATTGTGTAACGGGAAATACATATGTGTCAACTTTTATTCGAAGATCGCAGAGATAAATAAACTGCGGCAAAATGGGCCCAACGAAACCAATCCTTACAGATTCGCATGGTAGCCAGCCACTATCGTTTCTTCGATTAAGCCGTTTAACTGAAAAAATGTCTACTGAACTATGCAAATATTTCTTCAGTTCCTCCTCATTTAGCTCCAAGTCGATATCTTTTATTATGCCATATGTGACTCCAACTTCCCATGTTTTTTGGCATTTCCATCCCCTTTCTTTTAAAGCTTCACAATTTATGAAATATTCTGCACATTTTTCTGATCTAAAATTTATTAGCATTTTATATGGGTTAACGTATTTAATTTTCATAATACCCGTTAGATTATTCTCTTTCATGATTTTAGCCATCGTAAACTGTTTTGGTAATTTTTCCATGCTCATAACACTTATTTGTATGTCTTCTAACAATCTTTTCTTTTTGGATTTTTGGTTCACAGTTTGCCACTCTTCTTCGTCCTCCATAATTTGTTCTTCTCTTCTTCTTTTGTTCAAATATACATCTCCCGTCTCCATATCCACATTTATCTCAACATTTCCATCGTAACTTAATTGTGTAAGGTCCTCATCGATTTTTTCCATATTTTCGTTCAAAGTTATGTCATTACTGCACTCACTATAGTCGCCTGCGACTTCATGCGAATCTGAGTTATCCGTCATCACTTATAAGGTGCATATCGCAAGCGATGTCGCTAGCAATGCGTAGATGCGTTAACGAGCGAGGTGATAACAAAACGAATATTCCTCCACAATTGGAACACAAATAAGTGGTGCTGTCACAGTTATCATGGTGCTGCGTACATTTAGGGCATATAACTTTATTAGCAGGACACAGTTTTTTATTATGTCCAAAGCGCCAGCATTTTGAACATTGTGTAACGGGAAATACATATGTGTCAACTAGAGTAGACTAGTTTGAAGTGGCGAATAGATGTCGCCACACCTGTCGGCGCTCTATACTCGGGTAGCAGGGTTCGTAGGTTTTTAGAAATAAAAGTTCATATAGACTGGTAAGACGGTAACTGTATTGTGTAAGCGCGAGGATGGGCCCTCAAGGCGTCCGACCGGTACCGAGGTTGCGTACTGACTAACTAAACTAAACATTGGTTTTTCTCTCGACGGTCGGCGGCCTTTTCAGGTAACAACCGTAAAACAAAGTAAAAATAACACGAAGATACAAACAAAACAATTAGCATGAAACACATGGCAAAGGTTGGCACAAACATAATACAAAGTAAACAACAAACAATAGAAAGACATTACAAAGGTTGGTGTTGCTTGATACACAGACACCTGCAATAATTGCATAGATTAACAATGGACCACATGTTACGTCGGCGAAACACTAAAAAGACTTGGGTTTAACATTCCGACAATAAAATCCTAAAATTGCAGGTGCGTGAGAAACTAAAATTACCATGCTCTAAAATTANTCAGGCGGAAGAGTCCCCGATAGTACGCGCGGTGGAGTATGCCATAGTGAGGTGGTAACAGCGCCATCTGTTGGTACACTAGTTTTGTAGTGGCGTATCGTAGATGTCGCCACAAGAGCATTACAAATCTGAATGATCACAAAAACACACCCACGTGTCGCTCCCATACCTCAGCCACTAACTCACTTAAGCGCTAAATCTATAGCTTACCACTAAGTGTTCCCGGGAATATAACGCCCGTATTCACAAACGATGCTTGCTTAAGTGAAGCAGCAAATCGAACTCACAGCGTTGAATAGAGCTCTGTGATTGGTTTGTGTAACCCTGTGCGTCCACGCGCTCTGTGAGACCTCGTAGTATTGTTTGGGAATACGGGCATAAGTTATTTAAAAAAGAATGTGCGAGGGTATTCACCCAACAATCTACACCTCGATATGGGTGGATCACTTATTAAGGGCTCGCAACGAAACGCCCACTGCTGGGCAAACACCTCCGAAGATTTTCACAACCGGATACAAAGGTAAAGTTACTAATATTTGCAAGTCTCGGTTAAGTACAGGCAGCACTTCAAAAGGCCTTCTTTTTAGATTGTTAAACAAACCCTCTCTTAACCCATCAGACTTGTGAGCCCCACATAACCTACTCTGTCCCCGCAGGTTAGGTAAAGCCCGGTCGCCGAGCACGTAGAATTTCGTCCAATGACCCCAAGCTACCCCCAGTCGTCCTGTCGCAGAGACATAATTACGCGTGAGCGATAAGGATGGGTAGCTTGGGGTCATTGGACGAAAATTCTGGGTTACGTGCTAATAACAGATGGATAATTATCTGTTGATAATAACAAAAAAATGCGCTCGTGAAAATGAACTGTATTCGAAGTTTTCGAACGTATATTTCCGCACTTGTGTCTAGTGACTCTAGTGCTGGGTGTTAATCAACATAGATAGTTATAAAACCTATCTATTTAGCTCTTGGCTCTATCTAGCGTTGGATAACTTGACAACAATCAGCAACCAAAAACATAAAGCAACAATCAGAATTTCTTATGAAAAAATTAGACATATATCTATCTTAAACTGTAATTATCTTGATAATTTCTAACCCTACAAGCAAGCGAAAGATCGTGGATTCAATTCCCACCTGAGGCGATCGGTTTGTCCAAGTTAAGTTAGAAATTGTTAATGTAAACTATTCATGTTATTTTTTTCTCCTCCAGCCTACTCGCAATCCCAGTCGCACTCTGTAAACCTGGTCTCCGAAGACCTGGTGGCTGGCCACCGGCCCCACGGCAAGATGTCCACGGTCCGAAGGTTCTTCTGCCTCTTCGTGACCTTTGATTTGCTGTTCACCAGTTTGATGTGGCTGATTTGTGTTATGGTGAGGTTTGACATAGATTTTACTTTAATTAGTCTTTATAAACAAATAACAATATTAACTATGGGGCAGCAAGGTTTTGAAGAGGCCACGTACCACCCACAAGGTGGACCGACGACCTGCTAAAGGTAGCAGGAAGGCGCTGGATGCAGGCCCCTACCAACCGTGCGATGTGGAAGTCATTGGGGGAGGCCTATGTTCAGCAGTGGACGTCCTGTGGCTGAAATGATGATAATTATGATTTGATATAGTCTGGTCTGCGAGTACGGAGAATTTTGTCCAATGACCCCAAGCTACCCATCTTTGTCGCTCGCGCGTAATTATGTTGCTGTCGCGCTCGCACACTCACTGCGGGCGCCCGTCGTACAGTCGCGACAGCAATATAATTACATGCGAGCGATAAGGATGGGTAGCTTGGGGTCATTGGACAAAATTCGACGTGCTCGCAGACCAGGCTTTAGTTACAATAAAGTTACTGTATTTGTTCACAGATGCGCGGCGAGACACTACAACAGATATTCGACAGAGAAATAATACATTACAACATGAAAACGTCCCTTTTCGACATAGTACTGGTAGCCATCAGTCGGTTCACACTACTACTTCTGTTCTACGCTCTTCTGTACATCAACAACTGGAGTGTCATAGCAGTAAGTATTGTTAGGGGCCGGTAGATCTATTTTCATAAATGGATACTTAACTTTCACTTTAAATTGCCTCATTTTCTGTATTCTGACCTTTCTAGTGTGACATTGACATTACGTCAATGTCACTATGACAGCAGCTCATTAACGATACCGTTATTTTAACGTTTTAGATTTTTCACAAATTACAGTATTAGGAATTAGGTACATTATGAAATAATATTTTTATTTGTTAATCAAACAAGTAATTACGACGTTATGATGCGTTGAAGTTCCGCGTGACTTGACGTGTGCTACAAACCTTAGCGTCACAGGCTTCTTTTAAACTTAGGAGCGCTTTATTTCTTTAAATTTTCATTAGTTTGAAAAAGTGAAAAATACGTGTCAAGTATTTTTTGATAAGTTAACCGACAGACTATTTCAAAATCTTGTTTTTTTTACCCAGGAAACATCCAGGTAAGCGCTAACCTGGATGTTTTCTGGGTAAAAAAGCAAGATTTTGAATTAGTCCATCGATTCCTCAATCAGGGTGATTTTGTGACGATCAAACGTCAGCGAGACTTCAGACACAAAATATAACAGAATGTAAACTCCATACCACACTTCAGTAGACCTAGACAAAGTGCAAATTATAATCGCAAACCAGTCGAAAAGTGGTCGAAATTTTTGTATGGAGTTTTGACGGATTCGATTTTCGATTCGATCAAAAAGTGCGTTTTGTCTAGGGGGGCTGATCTGTATGCCCTGTCACATCATAATGTCAATATCATCCCTCCCACGCCGCTTCAATATTTCAGGCAGTGAGTTAAGCGCTAGACGTATAACTAATACATCTAAACCGCTTAAGTTAGACGCTTGAAATTTGACATGCAGGTACCTTAGTAAACTTAAAGCTTAGTTACAACAGGATATTGCAAAATTCCCACGGGAACGGGAGTTTGCGGGAAAAAACATTTGTATGAAAAAATCTAAACCGCGTACATAGTTAGGCTTTTTGATTGCGTGTCCGGCCAAAATAACCGATGTCCGGTCTGTCCGGCTTTTGTTAGGCTTTTTATTTGGCTGCCGCGCCAGGCGAAATCGCGCCATCGAGCCACAGAATAAGGCACGCACGCATCAGGACGTTGGGCAACCGATGATGATAGTACTCACTCGTGAGCTCACTAATTGCACCGGCTTTTAGGGAAAATGTCCGGCCAAATTAAGCACATAGTCCGGCTTTTGTGTTTTTGGACCTGGCAACCCTACTCCCGTGCCGTTCCTATACCTCAGAAGGCCTGTTCATCTCCGCGAGTTTACATCAAAAACAAAACACGCACGATGGCCCACCTACAGGATACTATTCAACAAGGCCTCACATACGAGCGAACATTGACTCACGCACGCGTATTCTTGTGTATGATGGAAGAAAATAAAGAAAATGGTGTACTAAATACTGTGCAGTATTTAACTGCCTAAATTCTGTGTTTTTCACAGAATGTACTTTTTTAAGTTGCCTCAAGACACTGAGAGGTAAATAAGTAGTTAATATTATTCATGATAATTCATGCTAAATCATGTATTTCCCCCGCCATTTTCCGCAGTTTGGCACGTCACGTCACATCATTTTACCGAAGTCAGCCCTATAGCTTCGGCGCAGTGCCGATCACTGACGTTTGTCAACAAAATGGTGGTTGACTCTTGAGACAGGCTAAATTACACCATATTGTTAAGAGCGTTGTAGCAAAAAGTTGGCGTTCGAATTTTAGGTTTTTATTGCTTGACGTCGCGTAGTGAGTGCGCAAACTGCATTTATCTGTACAATTTCAACGCTGCGTCGACTAAACGATCTTAATCCGTAGTTGTATCGTACCTAAGACAGTACATCATACATAATAATAAAGAAATAATGTATAATTTACCTATTTGATTTTTTCTCAGATCAGACTTTTAGCAAAATCAAGTTACGTAATTAATGTATTTTTTACACTAGTAAATCCCGCGACAAGTTTTTAATCTTTAAATTGAGTAAAGTAATAAGTTGATGGGTTTGAAAGAATTTATGTTTTATTTTATTCTTTTTACAGCATCAAAATCTTGTTTATGAAAAATATTTACTACTTAAATTTTACTTTTGACTTTTTAGTTTTTATGATGCGGGTTGGAAAAATTAAAATTTATTCTGATTTTGTGACGTTTCCGCACATAAATATGGATAGGTTAAATAAATAGAATGAAATGTATGAAAACGAGCGTGCCATTTTTTAAACGTTATCTATAATATCTGTGTCCATCAAAGAGCTCGTAACTAAACATCGTAAGTGCCATTCAAATTATTATACTATAAAAGTTAATAATAAATATTTAGTTTTTGTAAATCTAAACAAGTCAGGAAATCAAAGAGGTAAATACTGATATCATTGTGATTTTATAGAATTTATTATTATAAACCACGGTCGTATAATGCTAATAAATCAGAGGTAACTTTAAGATTTTTATCCACAGAGCAAAATTTATCTTATCGTGGTTTTAAACAGTTATCCCATTAGGTACACATGCGTTCTGAAATACAAACCCATCAAAAACAATACTTGTCAAAAAACCAAGTCTCACTACTCAGTTGTTCTACGGTAAAAAGTTGTGAGATCCATGTAATACCAAGTCCAGTCAGGAAATCATTAACGTTTTGGCCATCGCATGAAAACACGTGTAAATTAAATTATTTAGTGCGAAATGAAACGAAATTTTGCATGCCTGTGTAGACATGCAAAATTTCAGCTCAATGGGAAAACGGGAAGTAAGTAAATTTTAAGTTACAAGATTTTACAACTCCAGATGTCAAAGAAAATAAAAGCTTGTAGATAGCTTTACAAAGAAAATAAAGATTTATAAAGAATATAAAAAGTACTGCCTACGATACATTTGTTAGGCCGTGTTGCACCGTCTTACTTTAACATTGACATCAAAATTTTGGATGTCAAAAATCTGTCTAACATAAAACACCGGTTATTGTCAGTTAGGGTCAAAGTTAGGTGGTGCATCTCAGCCTTAGTGTATTTTAATTAAATTGGATGACGAAAATAATCGATAAGTGATCTCACTCGAATATTTCTTATAGTAGGTATACAGGATGTCGAACAAATGGTTACTTACTGAAAAAGTGCTTCATGAGACCTAGCAAACGGCATCAATAATATGTTTAAGAACGAACTGAATATATTCAAAAAACCTATATTTCCAGCTTTCATACATTTAATACAGTTACAAACAAACACGAAATCAATGGTTTCTGAGAATTCTGAGTGTCTTAATGCCGTCCCCTTTATCTGTTTATTTAGTATTTATTAATCAGTATCTTGATGATATTGTAGCAAGTTAAACCTAAAATCATGTTTTCCGTAAATAATATACAGTGTGTCCGGGCATGTAGTGATCAAACTTTAAGGGCGTAATCTATGGACAATCTTATCGGTGAAAATACTTTAAATTTGGGGCTTAACCCATTTCTCGCATATTTACAAGGATTTAAGTTTTTAATTTTAAGTTTTCACCTCTTTCTTCAAAAACAAGTGATAGCGTGGGTAGTTTAACATTAATAAGCAAACATTTTATATCATGCGATAGCCAATAAAATTATCTATTAGTAGAAGTAGAAAATAGATACAAGTTTCATACATTTTAAGGGTGTAAGAATGGATTTAATTAGAAATAAACACGATTTTCTTCACATCTTTTTCAGTTATTTCCCAACACAAGAAAAACCAGGTCGTTAAGGTATGTTTTATTTGCATTTTATTATTAGTATTTGAGCTATTCTACAAAACGAATGTAAATTTATTAGTCTACGTCTATTAGTTTCGACGTAATTGTTGAACAAAGACACCCCTTCCCAGCGGTTTCCATAGCGCACGCGACATGCGAAAATGCACTGCCTGAAAGAATTACACAACCTATTCCGATTACTATGGAAACCGCTGGGAATGGGTATCTTTGTTCAACAATTACGTCAAAACTAATAGACGTAGACTAATAAATTTACATTCGTTTTGTAGAATAGCTCAAATACTAATAATAAAATGCAAATAAAACATACCTTAACGACCTGGTTTTTCTTGTGTTGGGAAATAACTGAAAAAGATGTGAAGAAAATCGTGTTTATTTCTAATTAAATCCATTCTTACACCCTTAAAATGTATGAAACTTGTATCTGTTTTCTACTTCTACTAATAGATAATTTTATTGGCTATCGCATGATATAAAATTTTTGCTTATTAATGTTAAACTACCCACGCTACCACTTCGATGGGTGCCTGGAATAAAGCCGCAATCGACAAAACACAATTTTACAGGAGAAGAGATTTAGTGAAATTTTTGAATAATAACTAAACTACGAGGCGTATCCAAATGGTTTGTATATCAAACGATGCGTTATTTTTTCTGGAGTAACATATAATGTGCATAAGGTTATAGTGCTTAGAATATACCTTAAAAAAGGTAGAAATACATATTGCCGCTTCATACATTGAAAGTCGGTTCCGTAAGAGTCCATTGTGGTTTTATTCCGGTNGCACACATCTCCTGCCCAATCTGCATCACAATATCCTGTGATTTTCTCATTACCATCTTTGGTGTAAATCAATTTCAAATCTTTTGTGCCCTGTAGATATCGAAATATTCTCTTCACTGCAGTCCAATGCGTAGCCTTGGGATTGTTGTTGAATCTGCTCAGTGTGTTAACTGCAAATGATATATCTGGCCGGGTAACCTGAGCCAGATAAAGCAATGAACCAATAGCTTGTTGATATGGACAGTTTAACAATGCTTCTTGTTCTTCATTTTCATTAAATTTCATACCAACTTCAATAGGTGTTTTCACAGGTTTGCAGTCCGACATTCTGAATCTTGCTAACATTTCTTTAATATATTTCTCCTGATCTAATACAACATCACTTCCACACCTAGTGATGTGCATGCCCAAGCACTGGCTAGCTGGGCCTAGATCTTTCATTTCCAAGTGTTCTTTTAATTTTTCCTTAAATAACATCTTTGTAGACTCTTGAGCAGTAAATAAAATTAGATCATCAACCCAGACAGCTATAAATGTGTTCTGTTCTATATTGAAATAAACACATGGATCTGTTTTCGATTGTTGCATTCCCAACTCATGTAGGACTTTGTTAAGTTTGACATTCCAAAGCCTACTGGCCTGTTTTAGCCCATATATCGATTTATGTAGAATGCATACCTGAGATCCCTGTTTATACTGTTCTGGTTGCTCCATATAGATAGTTTTATCTATCTCTCCTTGCAAAAAGGCTGATACAGCATCCATTTGATCTATTTCCAGATTATATTTAGCTGCCAATGCAAACAAGTAGCGGATAGTGGTGTACCTGACAACTGGTGAGTATGTTTCTTCATAGTCTAATCCATTTCTCTGAGCATAGCCTTTTATTACAAGCCTAGCCTTGTAACTGGTGATATTTCCACTCTGGTCGGTTTTCGTTTTGAATACCCACTTGTAGGGTAGAGCCTTTTTCCCCGGTGGAAGGTCTGTCAAACTCCAGGTTTCATTTTTCATTAATGAATTGTATTCTTTATCCATCGCCTTCTTGGATCAAAAGTACTCAATCATACTACAATTTACGAAAAAATCACGCGTGACGCATATACGTCAGTGGGCAGTCAACTGACATAGACCCGGCGTCTACGAGTGCCAAAGCACGACTGATTTATGCCATTTGATGCACCCGATTTTATAGTATTTTCAAATTAATTTTTCATTTGAAGATTGAAGATAGATATTTTTTCTTTTTCACACAATAATAGTACTATGTTTCTTCTTAAGTATAAAGTAGTTTATGTTGCCAAATGACTTTCAGATTATGAGATGTGACCTGTTTTCTTGCAGTAATTTTCTCGAATTTTGACTATCTTAGACATGATAAAAATGCATTTTAATGAATTAAACATCAAAATTTTCTCAATACACTTTCTTCTTCAGGGTATGCTTATTCTAATGAATACATTCTATCTTCTTACTTAGAAATAAATTTGTTGTAATATTAGTTCAAAGTTGTGCCTTCGCGAGTTACCTGGAAATCGAGCTTTCGAAATTCGCTGTTTTCGTAGGCAAAAATCCAATTTGAACGAGATTTTGTCAATAGACATTCCGTAAAAACGTATGATAATTACGATGATATAAGTCAAAAGAAGCTATAACAATAAATTATATGACTAAAATCATTTCGAAATCTGCCAAATACTCGATTTCTGCATGAAAAATGTGACAACGCTCTTAATGACATTGAGCATACATTTTTTTAAATACCTTCGCGAAGTAAAACTTCTGTACGTAGTACTTATTATTATTCTGTGACCTCAGGCACCGACTCAGTTATGTGCTAGACCTATAATATCAGAATTGGAGTATTAGATTAATTAATGAATTCAATATTGGTGTAGATAAATGTGCGTTTTGTTTCAGATCTCAACGGGAGGGACTTGTCTCTTCTTAATAGCGAAAGTTTATGTGTTCGATGTGAGTATAAATATCTAAATTAAATAAAATAAATGGCCAACTAATTAACTAAATAGTGGAATTTTTCCCATCGTTATTGAAAGATTTTCAATTTCAACTATCGATATGAAAACTATCGACATACCATCATCCCTACTTCTTCATCTACTTGTAATTTGAACCCTAATCTCCTACCAATACAGTCGTTTCTTCGAGTGGTCGGACTCACCCCAGACAGTGTACCAAGTGTCATTTTATCATCTTTACTTCTTCAGCATCTACCTCTAATTTGAACCTTAACCTCCAACAAATACATTCGTTTCTTCCAGTGGCCGGACTCATCGCAACCTGTGTACCAAGTGTTCCTAATACTCACTTCTTTCACCCTCTCCTGGGGTGAGACGTGGTTTTTGGACTTCAGAGTGCTACCGCAAGAGTTGCAGGCCAAACAGATTTTGGACTCTATTGGTAAGTAATTAGACTCTATTTAACCACGGTAGAAATGGCGAATTTAAGGCCACAAAGCATTATCTAACCTTTGTAAAGCGGAAATTACAATTTTTGAACACTCACAACCTAAATTAATGCCAAATGCCCTTTTTTACCATTAAACCTTTTCCTAGCGAGAATTAGGCTCAGTTGCACCATCTTACTTTACCAAAAATGTGTCAAACTACATATAAAAAACACCGGTTATTGTTATAAAGTCCGTTCGCCGAACACGTAGAATTTCGTCCAATGACCCCAAGCCACCCATCCCGGGCGGCCGCAGTGAGTGCGCGAGCGCGTTTTTTTAAAGTAAAATGGTGCAAGGTGCAACCTGGGCTAAGATTTAGAATTCCACTAAGGCTTCCACAGACCAAACGCGGGTCAGAAGCAGAGCGGGTCAGTTGCAGCGCGGCAGTAGGCACACTAAAGGCAGCGGCAGTTTCAAAGCAGTTGCAACGCGGGCGGTTGTCAAAAAAAACAATATTCGAAAACCGCTTTCAACGCGCTGCTACCGCCCTGCCTCCGGTGAGTCATGCTAATATGGCCGCCATAGTAATACAACAGCGCGGGCCCGCGCTCCCGCCGCTTCTGTCCCGCTCCCGCGCCGCCTCGTTTGTATTTCGGCAGTTGCAGTGCGGCGCGGTTGGAGCGCGGGCCCGCGTTCAAATTTGGTGTGACACACTTCAAAGAGTTTCTTGTATTACAACTTGCGCGGGCCCGCATTACTGCGCTGCTACTGTCCCGCGTTTGGTCTGCCGAAGCTTTAAATCTTAACTTAACTTATTATTTGTCCCAACAGCCCACCAAGGGCCCTCAGAACGCACCCCCCTCTTACCCCCGCGGCCCGCTGGGTCCGCGTACGGGGAGTCCACCGTGAACTGGTTCTCGCCGGTTGACACGCCCGAGGGGAGTCCGCGCCCGCGCCGCGCCGGCGAGCCGGTTATACTCACGCAGGAACAGGTATGTACCTTATTCCACAGGGTTAAAGATGGTTTTAGCTTGGCAGCAGCTTGCACCATAAAGACTATTTCAGCTTGACACTATTGAACTGGAGTATGATAACAACAGACAGCGCTAGCGCGCGCCACTATACGCTGTGTTACGGAGACATATGGGCGATTTTAGATTGACGCAGTTGACCAGTGATGGCGCCCGCGGGCGCTTTTAGCGTGACGCTACCAAGTGATTCAGTACGGTGTCAATAGATGGCGCTGTATCTTAATATCTTCGCTGCGCTTCGATACAATATGATTCAGATTGACGTCAATAGATGGCACTTTTGCTGTAATTTGTGTTCGTTGCGCTGCGACGCAATACGCTTCAGATTGATTGATGCATAACCATTATTTATCAAGTGAAACGTCGTCCTTAGGCACAAATGAGGACAGTCTCTTTTGTTACGTTTTAGCACGACTAATTCCATTGAGTAACTTTCGTCGACACGCCCGAGGGAAGCCCGCGCTCGCGCCGCGCCGGCGAGCCGGTTATACTCACGCAGGAACAGGTATGTACCTTATTCCACAGGGTTAAAGATGGTTTCAGCTTGGCAAAATGGAGCTGGAGTGTGATGACAAGAGATGAAGCTAGCGCGCGCCATTATGCGCTGTCTTACAGAGACACAAGGGCGGTTTTAGATTGACGCAGTAAACTGAAAAACGCGCCGGCGAGCCGGTCATACTCACGCAGGAACAGGTATGGACCTTATTCCACAGGTTTAAAGATGGTTTCAGCTTGGCAAAATGGAGCTAGAGTGTGATGACAAGAGATGAAGCTAGCGCGCGCCATAGTGCGCCGTATTACAGACACACAAGGATGGTTTTAGATTGACGCAGCTAACTGGGAAACGCGTCTGCGCCGCGCCAGCGAGCCAGTTATACTCACGCAGGAACAGGTATGTACCTTATTCCACAGGAATAGAGATGGTTTTAGCTTGGCAAAATGGAGCTAGAGTGTGATGACAAGAGATAAAGCTAGCACGCGCCATTATGCGCTGTCTTACAGACACACAAGGATGGTTTTAGATTGACGCAGCTAACTGGGAAACGCGTCTGCGCCGCGCCGGCGAGCCGGTTATACTCACGCAAGAACAGGTTTGTACCTTGTTGCGTTAGAAATTAAAGCGATTTCAGCTTGACACTTCCTGAGCTGGAGTATGATGACATAGCGCGCGCCACACTGCGCTGTGATTCAGCGACATAAAGACGGTTTTAGATTGACGCAGTTGACCAGTGATGGCGCCCGCGGGTGCTTTTAGCGTGACGCTACCAAGTGATTCAGTGCGCTGTCAAGAGATGGCGCTGTATCTAAACACTGTGGTACAATACTATGCGGTTCATATTTACTGTTTTTGACGTCAATAGATGATAGCACTTTTACTGTAATTGGTGTTAGTTGCGCCTCGATGTAAAACCTTGAAGTCGCCTTTAGATACAAATAAGGATTATAGTCGCCATAATTACACCATTATTTTAGCCCTGCAATGCCATTGAGTAACTTAAAGCGTTCAGTCTTTAAGTGACATTTGTCAATTCGCGGTCTCGCTCACTCAAATATACTCCTTGACATTTTCTTATGGAGTCACGCCTAAGTGACATGTATTCTGTCGATTCGCGCTCTCGCTCAGTCAAATACACTCCTTGCTCTCTTATGGAGTCACGCCTCTTGCGCTCTCACTCATTGTCAGTCAAAGACACCCTCGGTCCTCTCCCATAGAGCCCTGCCTATCCTCGCCCTCAGAACGCACCCCCCTCCCGCCCCGCGCCCGCCGGCTCCGCGTACGGGGAGTCCACCGTGAACTGGTTCTCGTCATACTCACGCAGGACCAGGTACCTTGATACATAGGGAATAAGGATGGTTTCAGCTTGACGCTAGTGGTGTGCCTCTTTAGGGGGACAGTGCGGGCTACAATGTGCAATATTACATAGACACAAGGACGGTTTTAGATTGACGAGCGACACGCCCGAGGGGAGTCCGCGCCGGCGAGCCGGTCATACTCACGCAGGAACAGGTATGGACCTTATTCCACAGGTTTAAAGATGGTTTCAGCTTGGCAAAATGGAGCTAGAGTGTGATGACAAGAGATGAAGCTAGTGCGCGCCATAGTGCGCCGTGTTACAGAGACACAGGGACGGTTTTAGATTGACGTTCGACACACCCGAGGGAAGCCCGCGCCCGCGCCGCGCCGGCGAGCCGGTTATACTCACGCAGGAACAGGTTAGTGCACCTTATTGTGTAGAGAATAAGGACGGTTTTAGATTGACGCTAATGGTGTGTCTCTTTAGGGGGACAGTGCGGGCCAATTTGCGCCATATTACACAGACACAAGGGCAGTTTTAGATTGACGATCGACTCGCTCGAGGGGAGTCCGCGCCCGCGCCGCGCCGGCGAGCCGGTCATACTCACGCAGGAACAGGTAAGTCAGTCATAATGCATGGTGATAAGGATGGTTTCAGCTTGGCAAAATGGAGCTGGAGTGTGATGACAAGAGATGAAGCTAGCGCGCGCCATTATGCGCTGTCTTACAGAGACACAGGGACGGTTTTAGATTGACGCAGCTAACTGGGAAACGCGTCTGCGCCGCGTCGGCGAGCCGGTCATACTCACGCAGGAACAGGTTAGTGTGCCTTATTCCACAGGGTTAAAGATGGTTTTAGCTTGGCAAAATGGAGCTAGAGTGTGATGACAAGAGATGAAGCTAGCGCGCGCCATTATGCGCTGTCTTACAGAGACACAAGGACGGTTTTAGATTGACAGATCGCAGAAGCAGGTCAGTGCAAGCGAGAGTGCGCCATGATTCTGAGGCATACGGACGTTTTTAGCTTGGCGCTTCTGGACTGGTTCTTAGCGGTTCAGTGAAATATTAAGAGATGGCGCTATACTTGCTTTATCTTCGCTGCGTCCCATTGCAATCCAGTTCGGTTATGTTTTGAATAGATGGCGTTAATTCTTACTCCTAGTCCACTCTACATACTTGTTTCGTGAAACGTCTTCCTTTTTTTTATGATGAACAACGATGCACTAACGTCTACGTAACTACAGCTACCACCTTCATAGCGACTTAGTTATCTTTCACTCTCCACATTGACCCTCAAAACAATTAACATTGTTCGCCGAAAGTCACCTTAATATCGTCATTATCAGATCAATGTACTTACTGTTTTGCAAAGACGCGTGTTCAGTCTTGCATCATCAGAGAGGATTCGCGATGGTCAATTGGGGTCAATTGGTCATAATCGATCGTGGATTAAATGATTAACCAATCAATGGGCCTTTTGTCCATTAATGTCGGCCGGTGGAAAATTTTTGCTGACAGAGGTGACCGAGTTTTTGTTGAATAATTACCAATTGCTATTGCTAATAGTCCCGTAAGGTCGTAGCACACTCATCAACCCGGAAAGCGATCGTAACCGTATCAACTAGAGGCGGTCAGTATTCTTTGTATGAAACTCCATACGCATACTTATCCTCACCGTAACTTAAGGCTGGTTTTAGTGTCACGCGGACTGTCAGTGCGGATCGCTCCGCACAGCCGATCTGTATGAACTGCTAGGGAGCGGAGCGGTTCCTCCGGACCGCATTACTCTAAAACGCTCCCTAGAAGTTCATACAGATTGGCCGTGCGAAGCGGGTCCGCACCGGACGGTCCGCGTGACACTAATGTCCATTCAGCGTAAGATGGTGATTATGACAGTTCTGTTTAGTGAGGCGCTCCTTATAAACCTAATCGATATTTTTTAGAATCGAGAATATTTTCTATAGAAATCTAATCGCCTTTTATTTGTTTGATTTTTAATCTTGATCAAAATTATATCTATGAATTTGAACTATCTGGAAATGGAATAAACGTGAATATTCTTAGTGGTACAAAATAAATCACAAAGAATTAAATATATGCATTTTATTCAATAAAACATCAAAATAACAATAACAAACAATACGTGGAGAAATCGCATAAAACTAAACCGTCATCTAAGGCAAACGCACACGTACTGACTTAGCTTTGACCTGCCTGAGATAATAATCGTGATTCGATGGTAAGATGACCACCATGCCGATTACTGATTTATTGCGATTGTTTATGTCCCATCCCTATGAGCAAAAGTTCCGACTAACGCAGAAGCAATTCATTTAATATTTTTTCTCAATTTTTTCTAAATAATAAACTAATAAATAATTAGAAATTCTTGTTTAGGTTAATTGAGAAAGATTAGTGATTGATATTTTGGAAGGATGAAAACACACAAAAGTAATTGATTTTTACAACTCAATATTTTTATTCGTAGAAAGTTAGAATCATAAAACGAAACGTTTTATCTGTCTAAATCACCATCATAAGTTGAATGAACTATAAAACCAGCCTAAAAGCCTCGCCTCGCGGTTGACAGCGCGCGAAAGGCGACACAGTGTTGACTGTTGATCCTTTTCCGAGTTGACAAGTCTGCTATGACCTTGACCCCTAATGGTAGGCTAATGCTTGTGTTATGAGTGGGTTCACCACAATAGTCCAGCGGCGGGGTTCGAATCCGCGTTCCTCGGATCTGACTGAATGGACGTCTGCGGTGTTTCCGGACGGATACGACCTGCAAGCTTTCAAGAAGATAGCGTATCTTCACCTTAAAGGCCGGCAACGCACCTGTAACGCCCCTGGGTCTGCGGGTGTCTATGGGCGACGGTAATCACTTACCATCAGGTGATCCGTCTGCTTGTTTGCCTCCTGTCACATAAAAAAAAACTCGTTTCGGTCAGTCTGACGCATGCACCATTGGATTTGGGCTATTGTCGCTTTATTTAAACCCGAATTTAATCAAATTGTGTGAAAAAACACAACATTTAGCTGTGTCCGCGATTTTTTTTATATCATTTCTTTTTATGTACACTGTTTTTCAAATACATACCGCGTTTTATCCGCGGATCATCCCTTTTCTAATCTCTCTTTAACCGACTTCAAAAAAGGAGGATGT